GGGGTCGAAGAAGTGTAAGGTGATGCAGTGGTATCGGGGTCGAAGAAGTGTAAGGTGATGCAGTGGTATCGGGGTCGAAGAAGTGTAAGGGGGTGCAGTGGTATAGGGGTGGAAGAAGGGTTAGGGGGTGTAGTGGTATAGGGGTGGAAGAAGGGTTAGGGGGTGTAGTGGTATAGGGGTCGAAGACGTGTTGAGTGGTGCAGTGGTATAGGGCACGAAGAAGTATTGGGTGGTGCAGTGGTATGGGGGTCGAAGAAGGGTTGGGTGGTACAGTTGTATAGGGGGCAAAGGAGTGTTGGGTGGTGCAGTGGAATAGGGGTCGAAGAAGTATGCGGTGGTGCAGTGGTATAGGTGTCGAAGAAGTGTTGAGTGGGGCAGTGGTATAGGGGTCAAAGAAGTGTAAGGCGATGCAGTGGTATAGGGGTCAAAGAAGTGTTAGGTGGTGCAGTGATGTAGGGGTCGAAGAAGTGTAGGTGGTGCAGTGGTTTAGGGGTCGAAGAAGTGTTGGTCGGTGCAGTGGTATAGGGGTCAAAGAAGTGTAAGGTGATGCAGTGGTATAGGGGTCGAAGAAGTGTAAGGTGATGCAGTGGTATAGGGGTCAAAGAAGTGTTGGGTGGTGCAGTGGTATAGGGGTAGAAGAAGTGAAAGGTGATGCAGTGGTATAGGGGGCAAAGAAGTGTTGGGTGGTGCAGTGGGATAGGGGTCGAAGAAGTGTAAGGTGATGCAGTGGTATCGGGGTCAAAGAAGTGTTGGGTGGTGCAGTCGTATAGGGGTCAAAGAAGTGTTAGGCGGTGCAGTGGTATAGGGGTAGAAGAAGTATGGGGTGGTGCAGTTGTATAGGGGTTTAAATAGGGGTCGAAGAAGTGTGAGGTGGTGCAGTGGTATAGTGGTCAAAGAAGTGTAAGGTGATGCAGTAGTATAGGGGTCGAAGAAGTGTTAGGTGGTGCAGTGGTATAGGGGTTGAATAAGTGTTGGGTGGTGTAGTGGTATAGGGGTCGAAGAAGTGTTGGGTGGTGCAGTTGTATAGGGGTCGAAGAAGTGTTAGGTGGTGCAGTGGTATAGGGGTCAAAGAAGTGTTATGTGGTGCAGTGGTATAGGGGTTTAAGAAGTGTTGGGTGGTGCAGTTGTATAGGGGTTTAAGAAGTATGGGGTGGTTATAAGGTGGTGCAGTGGTATAGGGGTCAAAGAAGTGTTGGGTGGTGCAGTGGTATAGGGGTCGACGAAGTGTTGGGTGGTGCAGTGGTATAGGGGTTTAAGAAGTATGGGGTGGTTGGGTGGTGCAGTGGTATAGGGTTTAAGAAGTATGGGGTGGTTGGGTGATGCAGTGGTAAAGGGGTTTAAGAAGTATGGGGTGGTTAGGTGGTGCAGTGGTATAGCGGTTTAAGAAGTATGGGGTGGTTGGGTGGTGCAGTGGTATAGGGTTTAAGAAGTATGGGGTGGTTGGGTGGTGCAGTGGTATAGGGTTTAAGAAGTATGGGGTGGTTGGGTGGTGCAGTGGTATAGGGTTTAAGAAGTATGGGGTGGTTGGGTGGTGCAGTGGTATAGGGTTTAAGAAGTATGGGGTGGTTATAAGGTGGTGCAGTGGTAAAGGCACACTCGCCTTTCACTGTGGGTTTGATTCCCCGATTGGAATTGGGTTACCTAATCCGGTACACTAGCTTTTTTCTCCGGGCTGTGGAGCTGGGGTTTTTTACCGTCGTTGGATAGAGTTTGAGATAAACACATATTTCCATGTCTATATCTATGTATATTTGTATGTACTGGCGACATACTTCTCTTGGGCCCGAATATAACAATGCTACGGACTCCAGCTCGGGTTTAAAGGATTCAATAGCTGTCTAGACCAAATCTTAGGGTTTTCTCAATCATTTACCAATTTTGAAAAGAAAATCATTCCATAATATTGGTCTGTGATTATATTATTTTGTCATTTGCTCTATTTTTGCTCTGTTTTTGCCATATATATCTTTCGTTTTATGGGCACAATATTCCAATTAAAAAAAAAAAAAATTTATAACATTTCTTAGTTTCTGTCTGTGTTTATGTTTTTTTTTTCTTTTAGAAATCCCGTCTACAGAACCATAATGATGTTATTTTACGATTATAAAAACCCGGATTGTGTTCATATGTAATACAGCAAAGGATTCCTAGAGTGTCGGTCTTTCTGTAGTCACAGTCAATTAGTCTGTCCACGCCACCTAGTGCATACATGCCTGTAGAACGATAAGGCTGTCATTGGTGTTTGATAGTCATGTTAATGTGTTACTGAATCCAGGGAAAGCAAACAAAATCAAGATTTTTCTGTCTGTGATTCTGCTGTAGGATGTATTTACATATTGTTGTATATATTCTATCTGTGAGATGTGTGTTGTGTGATTTGTCTTAAGGGAATATACCACCTTTCACAATTATATCTGTGATTTGTGTATAGAGTGATCTCCCTTAAGAGTATGTACTACCATTAAGGGTGCACACTACCTTTCACTCTATCATTGCAATGATTTATTTATAGAGTGAGCTCCCTTTAGAAAGTTACACACCCTTTCACTATTATGCCTATGAATTATAAATAGAGTGATCTCCCTTTGGCGTTTTATTCTACCATTCACTTTTATGTCTATCAATGGTATCAAGTTATCTTCCACTAGGGCTTTTCCTCTCATTCCCATGTGTGTAAGATAGAGCTGTCCAGAGTAAGAAAGGGGTGTAGGAAATTTATATCTTACACTCCATTTCATGTGAATCTGGAACTTCCGATGCCGCAATGCGGAAAAAGGCGACATGATGAAATTAAAACCTGTTACGATATATTTACTGTTGGAACGATGTGATAAATGCTTCTGATTATGTAGACTTCAGCTGTGTTATGTTCTTGATACTGCCAAAGTTAACCATTAACAAAATAGGGGGAAGAATTGTGGGGGAAAACCTGGAAAGAAAAAACAATATTTCACTCAATTGTTTTTATAGAAAGTTAAATGCCCATTTATTCTTAAATAAATCATCGAGAAGGAAGAGAAAAGAATTGCTCTGCACTGTAATACTTGAGGAAAGAGAGTGATACATAGCACAATATGGCTGATGGAATCTCAGCACAGTTCAGTGATCTACATACACTAATACAGGCCTGCCTCAATACACATTCTGACATCTTAACAAACTTTTGTGACTGCCATACAAAAGACAGAACATTGCAATCAACAGTTTGATTTTCTCCACCAATCACGACCATATTGATCCTGAGGGCCGGCTTGTGTGGTGGACATGGTGTCCCTAATATGGCCATAATGCCACACGGAACCCGATTTCCTACTCGTCTAATTTCTGCGGAATCTCATTACGACCTTTAGACCCCTATTTCCTTGTTTGGTATGCTGTATGGCGATACTGAGTAAAGCGATAATTCCAGGTTATGAGTTCCGTAAACCTCTCGCTACAAATTTGGTATAGTAGGTTAGACGGTACAGAAGTAGAATTATCTGAGCTTCATCAGGAATACTGATTCCCCGAACAGCTCCGCTGCCATGGGGTTCTTAATTTTTCTGATTCGTGCATTGTTTGTTGGAGGTAAATTGTAACAATACCAGCTGGAAACATATATGGCCTCCTGTACAGGTCTATAGATGTAAAAGGTAACAATTTCTGAAATATGTGGCCTCTCAGAAAGTCAGTAGTTGTATAAATTGTATTAGACTCCTGTGTATCAAACTGTTAGAGATTTACAAAATGTTTGCAGTACAATTTACTTGTTCTGTCCTTGTTGAAGTGTGATGGATAAAGTCAATGTTCCTGTACTGTTCAGTTTTGTCAGCCTTTTGAGAGGTGCTGGTTGTGAAAAAAAGTAACACTGGATTTTGATAACGTCACAGATTTTATGATTTTATAATTTAATCTTGACTGAAATCATCAGATTCCTCGAAGCAGAAAGGACTTTTTTCCTGCAGATATAAGAACTCATTTGTATTATAGAAAGATAATATATTTTGATGATTATAGTTATCATGGATATCTAACCTTTATGACTGTTCTTTTATTTTTAATTCATAATTTTCAAAATTTGTGTCTATGTAGATATACCTGATTACCATCGTAAACATGGCCACTTGTTGTGGTTTGGTTTGATTTGTGTTTAACGTCCTATCAATAGCTATAAACATTTACGGATAGGCCAGGTATTGGTTGTGGAAGAAACCAGACTGCCAGGCTAGTACCTGGAGCCTGCCCCATGTAGACCTCGAACCCGCAACCAAGTGGTGAAGGGCTAAAGTGATTGTAGAGGGTCAGACTCCTTTACCACTCAACCACCATGGCCCCCAGATGTTGTGGTTGGTCTGTGTTTGAAATTAATTATTATTTGCTTTTGACTTTTATTTCAGTTTCTAATATAACTATTTAATTTCCTTGTCCTATTCATCTTCTTCATGTTTTCATCTTGGTCACTTAAGGATCCCCCGACTACTGCCAAAAACTGTAACTAAGGATTCCCCGACTACTGCCAAAAACTGTAACTAATGATCCCCCGACTACTGCCAAAAACTGTAACTATGCATTTGGAAATGTTTTTTCTGGCATGACTTTAGCTTTGATAAATCATTTCTGAAAAGAAAACGATAAGTTGCAAAACCTTCTATAGACATAATGAAGATGAAATCAACAAAAATATTACCAACAACGGCACTCTTGAGAATGGAGCTAGGCTAGACCAGGATTCGAACCCTGGACTTCAGATTGATGGACTATCACTCTAATCAAATCTACTGACCTGGCACAACTTTGCTACAGTTACATACAAAACGAAACTAAGGGGAGATTACTCTAAAAACAAAAAAACACATTGTGCAGTGGGACAGGGATCCTTAATATGTGTCTTTAGTTTCAGAGTGACTGCCTCATTCACCAGTGAACAGATTTATGGATTTCTAAAGCTTTGAATAGGGATAGAATGATTATATTTAGGTATGCGCCTTGAATCATACTGAATTGTCTCCCCTTTGTTACAGGATCACACTCTAGTGGGCAGCACTGATGCAGTGACCCAACAGGACATCCAATTAAGTGGACTTGGGATACATCCAGAGCACTGCCTGGTCACCATCGAGGTCAACGATGTCTTTCTATCACCACTAGAGGGCGCTAGGTAGGTTTGCCAAAAATAAAAAGTAAAGATGCTGTGCCATTACATGATAACAGAAAACACAAGATCATGTGTTTTTCATCAAAATATTGATACAGTGTTAAAAATCACTGCAGCAACCTTGTTTCCTTTTCCTTTGGATTAAAACAACTTAGTAGGGGAAAGAATTAAAGCGATTCACAATTACTCACTTGAGATATTTTGTGAGAAAAATAAAATTCTGCTTATTAATGAAACCAGGAAGGAAGTATGTTGGGGACTCCAGCCATCAGGTCAGGCGCCACTGCCTCTATGTGTCGTAGACCAAACCTGTTTAGTATTCATGATAACGGTTCATAGAAAAAGGAATAAAGGCTTGCTTTCAGATACCAATAAGGAGGTATTATTCTTGGCAATAAAGCACACACAATGTACTGGTATTTTTTTCGGCTCTGTCTGCTGTCACTGTAAACAAAGTCATTGGTTTCAATGGATCGCCCTCCTACTGTTATGTCAAAGCAACGAGGCACCAAATATTGACGCGAAAGATCTCCAGGACAATTTACGTCACTGGAATTATTAAACATGGCACATTATTGAATAATGTCGTAACTCGCGTAGCAGCAACCGACTTTGTTCTTCTGTATGTTACTTAAAAAAAGGGAACTGAATAACGCTCATCGTACCTAAATATCTGATTGTAATATGTATTGATTTTGGGCTGCCTGTGGTATATCTGATGTGTATTTGGTGGAAAATGTTGTGTCGTATGTGTTGCGTTATATTGTAAAAAGGTTCACTGCATAGTCTCATTGGACCAGATGTATATTACCAGGATAAATATAGAACCAAGGGCAATAACTCCAAACACACTTTTTCTAATATAATCAGAAAAATGTAAAGTCAATTGGCAGTGTCTAGCTTAACACTTAAAATAGTTTATAATAATGGAAACAAAAATAAATTTCATGAAATAATCATGGGAGTTTTCAAAATAGTCCATTCATCTAATAATTATGTTTCAAACTCTAAACCTTTCCTGGGATGATACAAAAAAATCTGGAATTCTCTGTGTAGAATATAAGAAAAATACAAATCTGGAATTCTCTGTGTAGAATATAAGAAAAATACAACAGCTACCCATTTCTTCTTTGTTCTTACCAAAAATTCAAATTTCCACATTTTATGCTCGAGGCATTTATGAACCGAATCTTACAATATAATTATCAATGACTTTAAAAGTAGAAAGGAGCTTTTTGTTAACATTGACCATATATGGAGGCATTGCAATTTAATTTAGTTTTTCAATTTTCAATGAAAAAAATTAAAAGTAACACTCTAATGATAGTTGTTTGAGTAACAAAAAGAATGTTCCAGACTTAGTAATGAGACCCACATACATAGCTATATGTAGTTGAACCTGCAATTACTTTGTTGATTAAAGAGAAGGAAAAAATAAATTGAGTCAATTCATCAGTGAATATTGTTTCATTTCTTTGGTGAGTTTGAGCCAGGAATTGGAAGGACACAGCAGTTATTGTCTAACAATTCCAACATGGCAGAGTATCAAAGCCAGTTACCTAGAGCTCTTGATAGATTATCAACCTCTATCCCGAGGATATTGATACTTCAAGGGCATCACAGGGCCGCGAATTCCAAGCCTTAACCTTACAATAGGGCCCTAATTACCAAGTTAATAAGGCTGATTCTGAAACTGTTCAGGTGTACGGATATTACGATTTTATTGTACGTTTCTCCGTTTCTGTACTGTTCATTTCTAATCAATATTGGCCTGTCACTTTATATTGTGTTTATTTTTCTGATTATTTTCCATTTTTCCTGGAATCAATAGAATTTTTAAGTTAGCCTCGTGTGATTGTTTGACAACTATAGCCCTGATTTACCACCAATATTGAACAGTTTATGGCCCTTGATAGCTATCAGAACGCTCTCAGCTCATTGGTACTGCCATTGTTTGAGATTGATGTTCATTTCAATTTAACGCTAATGGCAGGAGAGGTTTTCTCAGTGCTAATTTTTTAAGAGGTTAGAAAATTACCAGGTCAGGTAAACCTATAAAGATAGTGTTGGTGGGAGAGACATTGAGGACAGTGTCCTACAGACATACACAGGTAGTATTGGTGGGAGAGACATTGAGGAAAGTGTCCTACACACATACACAGGTAGTATTGGTGGGAGAGACATTGCGGACAGTGTCTACAGACATACACAGGCAGTATTGGTGGGAGAGACATTGAGGAAAGTGTCCTACATACATACACAGGTAGTATTGGTGGGAGAGACATTGAGCACAGTGTCTACAGACATACACAGGTATTATTGGTGGGAGAGACATTGCGGACAGTGTCTACACACATACACAGGTAGTATTGGTGGGAGAGACATAGCGGCCAGTGTCTACAGACATACACAGGTAGTATTGGTGGGAGTGACATTGAGGACAGTGTCTACAGACATACACAGGTAGTATTGGTGGGAGAGGCATTGAGGACAGTGTCTACACACATACACAGGTAGTATTGGTAGGAGAGACATTGAGGACAGTGTCCTACAGACATACACAGGTAGTATTGGTGGGAGTGACATTATGGACAGTTTTAGAATGAGAAACATTTATTACAGTGTACATGACCTTATTTTGCAGAAAGTTGTAAACAATTCTTTTTATTAATTTTCGTATACTTTTACAGGAAATTAAAAATTTGTTTCTTTCAGAATTGATGCATGCCTTTTTTTATTTCACAGAACATGTGTGAATGGTTCAAAGGTGGTTCAGAAAACCCGTGTTCGTCATGGTGACCGTATCTTGTGGGGGAACAACCATTTCTTCCGCCTCAACTGTCCCAAACTTAACAGTAAGTACAATGTACATGATCACAGGTTATAGAAATCAAAAAAACTAAATTTATTCCACTTGGAAAAGTTATAAGTAGACATTGAACTTCCCTGAATCAGGAGGGTAAGAATATCATATTTAGGTCTGGCCAGTTTTCCATTTGATAGTAAGGAGCCATTCTGCTTATATTCATTAGTACACTATAAGCATGTCATTTCTGAGTGTTCCTGACTTATGGAGTGACCTCCCTTGTCCAGATATTCTTTGATTTGGTAAGGTTCAAATATGACTTCAGGGGTGAATGGGCTAAATCCCCTTGATGATATGTGCTTATCTCTGTGATACACATGGCAGGAACAGATTCTGAACTTTACTTGGAAAGCTGGCTATCGACCTTCATGTAAACAATAGTATTGGCTCATAGCTGTGGTTCCTTTTTCAATCAGAAACTGACAACCTTATTAATTCCCAAACATGATTGAAACATAATGATAAGTAAACTCAAAGAAGATTATTTTTCTAGAAAAAAGGAACTCTTGCATACAGAACAGGAGTACAATATCAAAGACAGTGGAATTGGTACTTACATTGCACAAAACATTACCACAAAGCATTATTTTGACACAAAGCAGTAAGTATAGTTGAGCACAGAATGAGTACTGATCAAGTTGTAGGTGTGTTATACTGAGAATGGTGACTCCAAGGTAAGGAGATGTATGTATACCTGGTACTAATAGTGAGGGTTGTAAGTATACCGAGTACTGTTATGTCAATACACTGAGTACTATTACAGGTCCCCAGTCTACAGAACCTGACCAGCCCATAGATTACAACTTTGCCCAGCAGGAGTTGATGAGTAAAGAGTTCTCCAACGACCCAATCCAGGAGGCTATCATTGCTATAGAACAACAATACGAGGAGGACAAACAGGGTAGGTTACACTGATCATACCAATGGGTCTTGTCACTGGAAGAGACAGGGCGTAATCATATAGATGGGTCATATCATAATTATTGAAATTAGTTAATTATTAGTTCATGCAAGGGTAAAATAGGGTCCTTATCGTGGCTATATAGATTAAAAAAAGACGGCCATATCCAGAAATAGAAAAATCAGCATGTGATGGAAAAATGGGGTGGGGGGTGGGGGGATACATTTCTGTAATAAGATTATGTTACATGCAAAGAATATGCCACTTAAAGGGTCATATCTATTAAAAGTAATTTCAAGGTTGCATGTTAATAATATGGCTATTTCAAGGTCACCTGTACATGATATGATTGGTTCAGTGTCCTTCGTTTCTGTACACAGAGGCCCTAGAGAAGCAGAAACAGAGCTATGAGAGACAAATGCAGATCCTGAGGAGCCAGCTCATGTCCCCAGGGACTCCCTCCATGCCCTTCCTTCCTATGAGCCCCAACATGCTGACCCCCACGGGGTCCATGTCTGCCCAGAGTAGCATCCAGAGAAAGTACCAGGAGTGGGCCCAGCAAAGGTATGACATCCTTCCTGATTTAATAATCTAGTACAGCAATGTAGTAATATTACTACAGCTGCTGTAGTTGTACTGTATACCTGGAGATTGTCAACAAGTCAAACTATCACCCTACACATTTAATTACTATGCAAACTATGTTGTTTGCTAATATTGGCAGTAGGGATAAATTTGCCCTCATTATGGCGGTGAAAAATTCAATTGCAGCAAACATTTCTCACGAGACATTGAAATAAAAAGTTTAAAAAACAACAACTTATAAAGCAATGTTTGTTAAATTTAAACTTCATGAACAGTTCCTGTAGTAAAATGATACACTGAAGTAAAAATTGAAAAAATATATTGTTGCAAAGTTATGCCCCTTTGTATTGTGAACCATAAACTATTTTCTATTCACCTGATAGGTTAGTGGCCTATACATAAACTATTTTCTATTCCACTGATAGGTTAGCGGCCTGACATAAACTATTTTCTATTCCACTGATAGGTTAGTGGCCTATACATAAACTATTTTCTAGTCCACTGATAGGTTAGCGGCCTATACATAAACTATTTTCTATTCCACTGATAGGTTAGTGGCCTATACATAAACTATTTTCTATTCACCTGATAGGTTAGTGGCCTAACATAAACTATTTTCTATTCCACTGATAGGTTAGCAGTCTAACATAAACTATTTTCTATTTCACTGATAGGTTAGTGGCCTATACATAAACTATTTTCTATTCCACTGATAGGTTAGTGGCCTAACATAAACTATTTTCTATTCTACTGATAGGTTAGTGGCCTGACATAAACTATTTTCTATTCCACTGATAGGTTAGTGGCCTATACATAAACTATTTTCTATTCCACTGATAGGTTAGTGACCTAACATAAACTATTTTCTATTCCACTGATAGGTTAGTGGCCTATACATGAACTATTTTCTATTCCACTGATAGGTTAGCGGCCTAACATAAACTATTTTTTCATGTTTTATATAACTTATCCATAAATTGGAACATATGTCAGTTGATTCATATAAAAAAATTAATCTGAAAAGGCAAAACGTTTCTAATCAAATAGGCTGTTTGCAGAGTTTTTTTATGCAATCTTATGATTCTAAAACAAACTGAAGAACCGCATATAACAAGGCAATGCTTGTATATAATGAGGCAGTTTGTAGATGGTTTAATATTTTTTTACAGAACTGTTTGTCAAAAAGATGACAACTTTGAAGCAGAATCTTATTTCTGCTCACGATGATTAGAAATTGAAAAATATATTAATGTGCAAAATGGGGAACTAAATTTTTATGTTTTGGCCACTCTTTATGATAAACAAACAACTCTTTTGATACCACCTAAAAGTAGTTCAAGACATAAATGTTGCTCGCAGATCAACGTAACATTTACAAAGTCCAAATACAGGCCACGATTACCTGTTGTCTGTGGGTCTATAAGAAAACCTGTAAAGTTCAATGTACTTTACACACACAAAAAACACTAAAAGGACGCCTGTTTTTTGTCAAATCAAAGAAAAGACGGTCATTGGTTTTTTAAGAAGATGTTTGTGTTTGAGAGGATTTTACTTTATTTGCACCCCTGGATTCTCACTACAGGAGGAAATAGATCCGTTAATTAAATCTCCTGTCGTCTTAAAGTTGTCGACACTTTAGGGCTGCCTGTAAGTATAACGTATAGCGACGTATCAATACGTGCCGATGTTTCCGCCATTGTCTAACTCAAGATATACAGAAAAGGTGCTCATGTTGTAGATGTCCCTGACATAGAATAAGATAGATTAAATTACTTTACAAAACAGAGATAACAAAACGACTCGGTAACAAAATTGGTCTATAGATAATTCTTATGTATGTCTGTGTATACTGACGGTCCAACATAATTGGATATAAGTCTTTTGTTACATCCTGTGTGGCACGTTACCTAGGAAACGAAATTTACTCTTTCTTAAAGGAGATGTAACAAGTTGGCTGCTAACTCGTACTATATCCTGTTATGTCAGCAGTGCCTGTCCTGACAGCACCGTAATTACCAGGATTCAAATAGCTTACTTCTATGGTCAGGATGATATTTAAAACACACTGACATCAAAATAACAGTACAATAAAATTTATTTGAAGCAGTCAAGAGAATTTGTTTTAATAAGGTTATAGGAATAGTCAAATAATGTGTCGAAGTGGAAAAAAGTTAACTGATTATCTTTGAAATGGAGAAAAGATTTTTATGTCCCAAATTGAACATCTCTTTGGATATAAAGCAGTATTGTAAAGCCTCTCAAGTAAACGTAAGCTGAAATCATGGCTGAATGGACGCCAGGGCTGGGGATCACTTCCATAAGTTGGGGATTATAATGGTGGAGCCAGGGTTTCCCTTGTATGTGACCAGAATTAACAGACAGTACGTCTCATTACCATTCTACAGCTAGAGGTATTCCTTCTGTGATTGGTACAGACTCCCAGAGGCAGATCACTTCATTGTTTGATCAATATTATAGGAGTCGCTGGGCAGATCTAGGGTAGGAACACTACCTGGTCATCACCCAAATACGCCTTGTACTACAAAGGTACAGCTAGGGTAGGAACACTATCTGGTCATCACCTAAATACGCCTTGTACTACAAAGATACAGCTAGGGTAGGAACACTATCTGGTCATCACCTAAATACGCCTTGTACTACAAAGGTACAGCTAGGGAAGGAACATTAGTACTCTTTCTGGTCATCAGGCAAGTACGCTCTGTACTAGAATTTTAAGGAGATATTCAACCAAGGTAACCGGGCCCCTCTCCTATCTGGGATAGATGTTTGCCACAACCATGGTCTGTTATCTATGACATGTCCTTGTCACTTTCATCTTTTTTCATCTGTGTCGCTCTTTGTGGTAAACATTTACTCTATCACTCATTGGTGCAACTAGGTCTTTGACTTGATGGCATACCCAGTCAATATAGATAAAATCCTATTATAGTAACAAGACTGATTCCTTGAATAAAACTATGTAGTGACAATCCTTCAAGTCTGTTAAATAACAAGTGATTTGATTTGTGTTTCTAGGGCCAAATCAATGTACCAGATTCTAGCTAGAGAAGTGTTTTTGTCCCTTTAAAACTTTCAACTGTTAGTAAAAATAATACAAGGCCATTTATTCAATATTTAATGGTCTGTTGATATGTTTCCAGGGACAAATCTATCAAGCAGAGTCTAGCTATTCTCCGGGATGAGGTTGTCAAGGCGAACTCTCTAGTAAGGGAGGCTAATGTCCTGGCCCAGGAAATGGGCAAACTTACAGAATTCCAAGTCACTCTACAAATACCAGCAGCCAACCTCAGTCCTAACAGACGGGTAAGTTACTGCTACAGTTTGTTTCCTTCCTGGCGGGTAAGTTACCGCTACAGTTTGTTTCCTTCCTGGCAGGTAAGTTACCGCTACAGTTTGTTTCCTTCCTGACAGGTAAGTTACCGCTACAGTTTGTTAATTCCTTCCTGACAGGTAAGTTAACGCTACAGTTTGTTTCCTTCCTGGCAGGTAAGTTACCGCTACAGTTTGTTTCCTTCCTGGCAGGTAAGTTACCGCTTCAGTTTGTTTCTTTCCTGACAGGTAAGTTACCGCTACAGTTTGTTAATTCCTTCCTGACAGGTAAGTTCACGATACAGTTTGTTTCCTTCCTGGCAGGTAAGTTACTGCTTTGTTTCCTTCCTGGCAGGTAAGTTACCGCTATAGTTTGTTTCCTTCTTGGCAGGTAAGTTACCGCTACAGTTTGTTTCCTTCCTGACAGGTAATTTACCGCTACAGTTTGTTTCCTTCCTGGCAGGTAAGTTACTGCTTTGTTTCCTTCCTGGCAGGTAAGTTACCGCTACAGTTTGTTTCCTTCCTGGCAGGTAAGTTACTGTAATATTTGGTTTCCTAATAGGCAGGTAAATTAACGTAACAGATCATTTCCTAGCAAATGGGTAAGTGACAGTATTAAAGATTGATTCCTTACACAGAATATTTGTTAGAAAGTCTACAAAAGATAATTTTACTAACAGATGATATGTCCCGACTGATACACATACGGAAAACAGTAACTCTTTGTTAGTAAACCTTATGTAAGTTGTATCTATATGAGCACGGAATTAGAACTGTAAAAAATAACAAAATGTTAAAGCAAATAGGCCAAGATCTATCATGGACTTAAGGTCATTTGTCATGGTGTTAAGGTCATTATACTTGATGTTTATTTGAGAGTGTGGTTTTCTTTTCTATTTGACATAGGCTGGTGATGTATATATGAATATGAGTTAAGTAACACGTTTTTAGCTCACCTGGCCCGAAGGGCCAAGTGAGCTTATGGCATGGTGCGGCGTCCGGCGTCCGGCCGGCGTCAACTTTTTACTTTAAACAACTTCTTCTCAGTAACCAAAAGGCCTAGGGTGATGATATTTGGCCAGAAGCATGCTTGGACGAAGGGCTACCAAGTTTGTTCAAATAAATGACCTTCATCAATTTTCAAGGTCGCAGGGGTCAAATATGTTAAAAACTTTAAACAACTTCTTCTGAATAACCAAAATGCCCAGAGTAATGATTTTTGGGAAGTATCATGCTGGGATGAAGGGCTACCAAGTTTGTTCAAATGAATGACCTTCGATCATTTNGGCTAATAATATTTGGCCAGTAACATGCTAGAATGAAGGGCTACCAAGTTTGTTCAAATGAATGACCTTTACTTATATTCAAGGTCACAGGGGTCAAATATGTTTAAAACCTTTAAACAACTTCTTCTCAATAACCAAAAGGCCTAGGATGATGCTATTTGGCTAGTAGCATGCTGTGATGAAAGGCTACCAAGTTTGTTCAAAAGAATGACCTTTGTCCATTTTCAAAGTCACAGGGGTCAATTGTCTTAAAAATCTTTATACAACTTCTTCTGAATAACTGAGAGGCCTAGGCTAATGATATTTGGCCACTAACATGCTAGAATGAAGGGCTACCAAGTTTGTTCAAATGAATGACCTTCGATCATTTTCAAGGTCACAGGGGTCAATTGTCTTAAAAAATCTTTATACAGCTTCTTCTGAATAACTAAGAGGCCTGGGCTAATGATATTTGGCCAGTAACATGCTAGAATGAAGGGCTACCAAGTTTGTTTGAATGAATGACCTTGACTTATATTCAAGGTCACAGGGGTCAAATATGTTAAAAACCTTTAAACAACTTCTTCTGAATAACTAAGAGGCCTAGGGTTAAGGTATTTCGCCATTAGCATGCTGGGATAAAGGGCTACCTATTTTGTTCAATAGAATGACCTTGACGTATATTCAAGGTCACAGGGGTCAAATATGTTAAAAACCTTTAAACAACTTCTTTTGTATAACTAAGAGGCATAGGGTTAAGATATTTGGCCAGTAGCATGCTGTGATTAAGGGCTACCAAGTTTGTTCAAATGAATGACTTTCGTCCATTTTCAAGGTCACAGGGGTCAATTGTCTTAACAAATCTTTAAACAACTTCTTCTGAATAACTAAGAAGCCTAGGATAATGATATTTGGCCAGTAACATGCCAGGATGAAGGGCTACCAATTTTGTCAAAATGAATGACCTTCGCCCATATTCAAGGTCAGAGTGGTCAATATATGTTTAAATCTTTAAATGACTTGTTCTGTATAACCAATAGGTCCAGGGTTATGATATTTTGCCAAAGCATGCTGTGTTGGACGACTTTAAATTCTGTTCAACCTAATGTCCTTGTTCGACATTCAAGGTCACAGGCGTCATATGTTTAAATCTTTTAATAGGCTCTTATGAATCAAACACTGATATTCTTCCTATAGCTGCATTTTAGTCCACTTTTAAGATTACAAGTGTGAGATTAATACGAGGTGAGTGATTCAGGCCCATTGGGCCTCTTGTTGAAAACTTTGCATTAACTGAAAAATGTATAAACTAGAATAAGGCATAGTTAAACAATTTCACCTTGAAATCTTCTGATGGCTGAAGGATCCCTGTCCGACTACACTGCCCTTTTTCCTATACAGAGTAATCTCCCCTTAACTTCTGTTTGGATATATCTGTAGCACAGATGGGCCAGAAAACTTCTGTTGACCAGGAAGCTCAATCCAATAGTGCGATAGTATAACAACCTGAAGTCTGGGGGTAGAATTCTGGTCTAGCCCCGAAATGTTTTGGCATTCAGAACACTGTTGTTGATTATATTTTGTTTATTTCACCTTTATTATTTCTCACAAAGGTCCCACAAGGTATGGTTTTCTTCTCGGAAATGATTTATTTAAGCCATATAGTCATCCTGAAAAGAATATTTTCCAATACTTCAGTAGAATATCTGGCAGTGGGGCGAAGATCCTTAAATGGATGGAGTTAGGATTTGAGTTTTGAAAAAAGTCTCTTACCAAATTATTTGCTCATTAACATAGCTTAATTACATTACTGATTACATGACCGTGTTTAATGATCATGTGACTGTGTTGATGACGGGGTGTTGTAACCAGCTGTACCCGTGATGTCATTTGTCAGTGACTAGAGTGCCCTATGTATACATGGCTCCATAAAGACCTGTGGTACACATCTGTGCTGTCTAATAGCCTTTTTACATGCAACTGGCTCGTCAGTACTAGCTCTTCGATTTTTTTCATTGTAATTTTTTATTTTTAATCTGCATCTGACAAAGTAACAGTTAAAAATAAGTAGAAATGTAGTGTAAGAAATCACTGTGGCGCCAGCACACGAGGTCAAATTTAGAACTCAAAGTTGATAGGGAAACATATTGGTTACCAAGGAAACAACAAAGCCAAAGGGAAGGCATCATGATGCCACAAAACCAGGATATGTAGTTGATTTGTTACATAATCTTTTTAGAATGAAAATCCCCATGAAGATACTCAAGTCAAAAGTTATTGTCTTGAGGATATTGAAGTCTTTAGATTAATGTGAATATATAATAAATGTTCAAATTTTGAGAGAAAAACAATATATTGAGGAATTTTGAACAGATTGTTTAGAATTTTAGGACTAAAAAGGGAAGAAAAATTCAATACTTTTTCTTCAAATTTCTAGAATTTTGTAGTTTCCCTTCTACAATAGTTAACATGGTAACAATTTTTAGAGGAAAACATAGATTATATCAGTGTAGATTATATCTGTGTAGCTGGTTTGATTGTCGCTGCTATTGGAATCCTCTCATGCACCGAGTCTGATAAAAACTCCTGTTTCAACCACAAAACGCAGCACTGATTAAGTTTCCAGTGAGCTGTGAAGATTTTACTAGATGATACGGATTCAGGGGTTTGGGCAGGAAACTGAAGTCACGCAAGGCTTCTGTTGTTCTATCACGTCTAACACGCCGTGTTAGTTCTAGTTGTAGGCGATGAACACTTCCATATAAAGGTGCAAACAAATCAGATTTTTCCGGGTTCTTCTCTTTCATATTCAGAAGCTATTCGAGGAATGTATGCCAAGAGTTGTACGTTCAAGTTTCACAAACATACAAACTATTTGAAATGAAAATTTACTGCATTGATATCAATATTTGTGGTTTCGATATGGTATTATTACAAAAATATTAGTGAATAAATGTTTTGTATCCGTTGAGAAACGCATAAGACAACTGTGAAATGTTCCAATACATTGAAAACCATGGAATTAATATGAAATTGGAAACTTCTTCTGGCATTTGATCCTTAATTGTTTGAACAAGATACGAGGTCAAAGGTCATTACATTAAATATAAACGAAATCTCCAGCAAATGATCACAAATGTGATACTGATAATTTTGATAGAAAACATTATCCAACAGGTTTTCTGAAATTGTCCCAACTCATAGGCTTTTATTAAAACAATGGCGATGTATTGTCTGATCTCTTTGAACACTTTCGGTTTAAAAAAAAAAAAATAGTCTGGGCTGTGTTGTCTCTGGTCAACAGTTGTCTCTATTCCTTGTAAGCATTCAGGAAATTATGTTCTCTGTTGTCCGAAACATGTTTCATATTTCTCTGTATTAAGTGAGCTATATTATCACTTTAGACAAAGCCCAAAAACCAAACCGCAAAACCCTAATAAACCTTATGTTGTAACCTTCTTACCGTACTTCCCGTAGAAATATCAAAACCATGTAAATTTTATAAAATATTGAGTTTGAAATCATGTAAAAATTTATATTGAATTGAGTCTGTTATTGTGAAGGAACGGATGCTATCTGAGAGACCAACGATATTGACTGTACGCCTGGTTGGTGTTGTGGGAACCATTTTGAATTCTATCCACTAGCTGAATATCACAATCAATCATTCCTTTGACTACTGATCATGTTTCAATTTTGTTGGAACCCTGTTTGTTCGTATTTAGGGCTCTGACCTATCAAATTTAAGCTTCAAACAGTCATTCTGCAGCCTTCAGGCCGTGTTTAAAAATATAAAGCAGCATGGTTTTGTATGCGGAGTAAATCATTGCATAGGAGATATGCTGGGTAGAAATTGGTTAAAATACTAGTATTTCGAAGGCAGGATCAATTGTAATATAATTTTTGTTTGACATATTAGATGAATTGGAAGACATCTTGATAACTTTACATGTCTCCGACAGCAAGTCTGGTTCACTTCTATTTTGTTAAGAAATTGATTTAAAGCAAATTCTATTTTTTAAAGATGCTTGATAAAACAGACTAAAACAAATGTCTTAATGTTTCGTGACAATATCTTAAAATTATTAGAATAAATTTATTGAATCTGACACGAACATGACACCAACTGCATTAGAACTGTTATTGTAACGTGCGACCTTCACCTTCACGAAAAGCAAACATTAATGGTGATTGAAAGGCGGAAATGGACTTATTTTTCACACATGAGTCCTGTGTGGCCTCGTAAACATAATGTTAGTAGCAGTGCACTGTGCTTCTTCCCTCTTTACGACAAATTAGCGGGGGCTCCGTAAACAGCCCTAAATCTTTTAGAACTTGTTGGGGAAACTATTGAATTTAAAGTCAGTTGACATTTTCTGTGGTAAAAAGGGATTGGGCAATTTATCACGTAATTGATTTTCTGTGAAAGTGATGTTAATATTGGGTTGCTGAGCTATATATGTAGTCTGCTCAATTTCACTTATCTTGTTAGCAAGCTGGAAGGGGCAATAACTAGACCATTACTTTGATCAATTTTGTTTTACTTTGAGTGAAGTCAATTTGTTATTGCTTAATTGAATATCAATGCATGTACTTTATCAAGGACTGAATTTAATAATACATTTTGATGAAAACCAAAATTTCAAAGATTCATAAAATCAACTTTCCACTTTTCTTAATTTCGCCCCTCACATAAAATGACTATGTTTATAAATCTGTTTCGCCCTCATTATAGAGGGTGTTAACTCATTCACCCCTGAAAACATATTTGAACTCTTCCAATTCAAAGGTTCGAAAAGTTCATTATAAAATTAAGGTTAAGGGTGAAAGTTTAACTGTGGCAAATTTGTGTTGGTTAATTAAGCTAATCACTTTTAACTGAGATTCATTTAAGATAGAAACGTAGATTTCATATTTATGCCTTTTTTTTAATTGCAGAGAGGAGCATTTGTGAGCGAGCCTGCCATTCTTGTCAAGAGGAAGGGGCGGGGGAACCAGATCTGGTCGATGGAAAAGTTTGAAAATAAGATAATAGATATGCGTGACATGTACGAGGAGAGGAAAGCGACAGGACTCCCTATGATGGTAGAGGACGAGCACGATTCTGAACCCTGGGTTTGTTATTGTGTGCTTGAGTGGCCACACTGCATGGCTTCCTTTATTTTAGTACTGTGTAACCAGAGGTGTTCATCAAGGTCATCTTACAGATTCTAGTCACTGACACTTTATGAGGAGGGGGGGGGGGGCGTAATGTTACTCACATCTGTTCCATCCTGTCGTGACTCAGTGTCACTGCTCTAGCTTAATTTCTTAACAAATTGAGATCAAACTTTATACAAGAGTCAAGTACCTGGTATCACTTCCATAATTTCATATTTGAAGGTTCCAAGGTCAGGGTCACCATTACTATTTATGAAGAAATTGTGACACATTGAAATTAATCTGGATGGACGAAGAGGTGGGGGGTTATCATATCCAGTTTTCAGGAACTTTTTGTTTCTGTTCTTTATATTTAAATTTCAGTAGAAGTATCGATCAACTTATACAAGACAAACACAAATTCTATCTGACTGATTAGGGGTGGGGTAGTGGGTAGTAATGAGTACACTATGAACATGTCTGGGTATACAGTCATTGTGTGCTGTAAGAGAACCACTGTGTAACCTGTCATACCGTTATAATAAACAACCTTCTTTGTACTTAAGGCTATATACTGCCTTACACTTTATATTTGTATCAGAGTTACTTCCCTTAGAAGTACAATAAATTATATTTCAAAAATCAAAACTACATTAGTGTAATCTGTGCAAAGTCATCTTATGTAACTTTCAAAATTATCATTTTTTTATGAGTCCAAATAACCATTTATCAATTCTTTGACTATTAGTAGTACATACTGTCTGTAAATATAACTCTCCTGTCTATTGTTGTAACAAACCAGATTTTTTTCAAGAAAATGGCTACATTATTAATAGCAATATGACATACACAGTGATTCTTTTTAAGAAATTGTCATTTTCATTTTTATGTTTTAAACTTTTCATTACAAATCTTTAGTTAGTTTAGTAACACATTGTCAACATTCAATAGATAATTCACACTATGAGGAAACTAATACAAAACATCCTAAATTATTGGACTGGAAAGTTTATGGAAGGAGTCATATATATATATAACTGTTTAAGATGCGTAATGTATTGGAGTTGAGTAAAACAAAAACCACTGTAGACCGTGAAGAAGGAATTGTTGTGTAACTTAATTTGTTCCACACACAAATACAAGATCACATCTAGTCAGTAGCGTCACATCACATACATATGTAGATTTCCTTTGTATAATTCAGTTTTTCCTATGTGCTAGCTTTGCATATTTCATTTTGATCTTTAAGCTGCTTAATCAGAAGCCAGAAAACAGGAATCTCTCTTGTTCAATTTTTGACCTTTCACTTTTTTAGTTCAGCTTACTTTAAAAGAACACTCAAAACACACAACCGACCTGTATTTACTGTTGACCAGATTATCAATAAAAAAAAAATTTAAAAAAATCAGAGAAAAGATCAAACTTACAAAGCACTAATGAAAATCTTACAACTGGTGGCCACCAAAATCCATTTTGGATCTCTTGTTTCATTAATTTTGTCAAATTTGAAAATTAAAAAAATACAAGTACTGTACCAATTAAACACTCTTTCTGAAGACTATAAGCTCCTTCGGCAAATAATGCCAGATAATGTAATGCATAATATAATAATATTAATCACGTCCTAAGGTACTTATGTACAGACAAAAAAGTTATCTTTGAAACCTTCACAACCACACTTAGATAGGGGACAAAATCTTGATATTCCACAGAAATATAAGCAATGATGTATTTATAAACAAAATCTGGACAAGGATGTGTCAAAGAAATCGAACATACACATACCCTCGCTTTTTTTTCCATTTTTTTTATCAGTATGTTAAGCCATGAGTTCCTGTGAGAATTGTATCAGGTATACAGCCGTGGTACATATTGATTGTCTTCTGCTGTTCTGTTGTGTCCTAGACTTTCTCTCTGTCCCTTTAGATGATATACCATACCAATGACTTTCTCTTTGTCCCTTTAGATGATATACCATACCAATGACTTTCCAGATGGTTTTGTGAGACACAGCCTCTTCTCAGTAATTTTAGTGTCATGGCCAGCTTACCTAGATGCCTGCTTTATCTGCTTGAGATTTAATTTTTCATTTTCTAAGCTATTACCATTTATAAAAGGAAGACTTGATTTTTACAATTAAAAGAACTTAATTTTAAAACAGAAAAATTGCATTAAACAAATGAGAAATAAATTTGACATGTTTATGCCAGTAGTTGAATTGTTGTAAAGTATTTCCTGTAGGGAATAATTCAGAGTGATTTTTAGCAGAAAATCAAAAGGATTTTCGTGTTGCTTCAGTTGCTGTTGGCCTTGTGCAGTGATATGTTTTGTGATAGTCAATTCCTATTTACAGTTTGGTATAATGATTCCATTTATTTATTCGAAGTCATTGAACCTTTTATTTTAATGGGGGTTTTTAACGTCAATTAAAATCAATGACACATTTTACTTTTGGTTTTATTTTGATTTACAGATTTTTCATTTTATTTTGATTTATGGAAATTTTTATGTTGAAGGCATTTCTCTGTCTAGTGTTTCATTTAATAGTCATTCAGTGATTTATGATGTTGTATTGAGTTAGACAATTATTTCATTGTGTATATATTTTAATTGAGATTTATTTGAATGACTGAATAACATTAAGTACCCTCTCAGGGCATGTCATACAAAAATAGATTTATCAACTGCACCAATTATTTTATTTTACCTAATTGTTCTTTAAAATATTGATATTCATATTTGCCTTTGTAAATTAGCTTGTAAATAGAGTGGGGGTGGATTTGAGTGTAAGGGAGTGTGCTGTTTGCTGTTTGGATCAATAGATCAGAAATCATATATCTTTACTGTCACATGCCTAGAATACATTTTTAAGGTAGATAGTCCCATCACTTTTCTTCTGTACACTGGAACTGAAACTTGTTTTCCTGTTAAATGTTTGATATCTCTACTTCATCAATTCAATGACAAGGTGTTTGAATAATTTAAATTTGTAATATTTCTAAAAAAAAAAAGGAAAAGTAATTACCATGATTGGCAGTGAAAAAAGTGTTTTTATTCAAGAGGTGAGTACTTTAAATCCCTTTAACAAAAATGGTTTTGTAAATGCAAAGAATTTATTTCTTTTGTATTATGGAATATTACTCTTTGTTTTATTAGACAATCAACTCTAAAGTAAAAGCAAATGCAGAATACATTAGACCTGGGGATACAACACAGCTCATTGAGACTCTCTACCTTAAATTAAAACCGACTCTGACTCATCTCGAGTCTGAGCTTCAGAATAGAGCCAAATTGACTTAGAAATCAAAATATAACAATTTTAAGTTGTTATTCCACTTAATTTGTAGCAAAAAACATCAGTTCAGTGATGCATTTTGCAACAATGACCATTGCACAAAAAGTTTTAACCCTTTCGTCACTGTAGACCATAATGGACTTAACTATCCAGATAAGTTCATAGAAGAGTTAAATAAAGTTACAAAGGGGTGAAATTTTTTTTTTGCACATACAAGATAAGAAAAAATGGTGACACGTACTATATATATTTTATAAAATCAACAGGATGAGGGACCACCAGTAAAGGGAGACCCGTTTTATGAGTCACAGGAAAACCACAACCTAATCGGTGTGGCCAATGTCTTCCTAGAGTGTCTCTTCCACGATGTCAAGCTGGACTACCAAGTACCAATCATAAGTCAACAAGGGGAGGTAAGTCTGTCTTCATCTTTTAGGTGTTAAACAAGGATTGCAAAGGTCTGCAAATCTGATTCTTTGAAAAATTTAAACATGTTTGATTCAATGGCCCGTATTTATGAAATTGTTCTCATGCTCAAGCATGAATTCTGTGTTCAAACCAATTAGCTTTCTTGCAACTCGCTTAAATCACACTGCCAGAAGGTCAAATGTAAATATTGAAAATGGTATTCTGTATTTAGTTCTGTATTCACTTGAGTAGGAAATTGGGCTTGAGCACAGAATCTGAGTTTGAGTCTGTGAACAGTTTGATGAATATGGGCTCAGTTGATTTTGTAATACAAGTTAATTGATTTGAGTTGTACAAGAATTAGTTGCAGATTCTTTTTTAATTTTTCAAACTGTCACTGATTACAATTTTAATTCACTGTGTTAGAATAGTGTCCCCTTCAAAAATTAAGATGTTTTGAAGTTTAACTTGGTGGAATAATGTATGAGGAGCACAGGCATGGTTAAAGTTGATTGTTTATATCTGTAGATCGCTGGTAAGCTACATGTAGAGATTTGTTTATCTCTGTAGATCGCTGGTAAGCTACATGTAGAGATTTGTTTATCACTATAGATCGCTGGTAAGCTACTTGTAGAGATTTGTTTATCTCTGTAGCTTACCAGCGATCTATATGTAGAGATTTGTTTATCTCTGTAGATTGCTAGTAAGCTACATGTAGAGATTTGTTTATCACTATAGATCGCTGGTAAACTACATGCAGAGATTTGTTTATCTCTATAGATCACTGGTAAGCTACATGTAGAGATTTGTTTATCTCTGTAGATCGCTGGTAAGCTACATGTAGAGATTTGTTTATCACTATAGATCACTGGTAAGCTACATGTAGAGATTTGTTTATCTCTGTAGATCACTGGTAAGCTACATGTAGAGATTTGTTTATCCCTATAGATTGCTGGTAAGTTACATAAAGAGATTAGTTTATCTCTATAGATCTCTGGTAAGCTATTTGTAGAGACTTGTTTATCCCTATAGATCGCTGGTAAGCTACATGTAGAGATTTGTTTATCCCTTTAGATTGCTGGTAAGCTACATGTAGAGATTTCCAAACTCGGAGGATCCTTCCTGGATAGATATGCTGACACAAATGATGACGGAGAGGAGACAGCTGAGCCAGAGCCTGTCGGAATCGGCTCTCCAATGATTGTCAGGGTAAGTCAGTCAGAGTTAGCTCCCCTGTTGTAACCAAGGTTAAATGGACTCTCCCAATTATCATGTGAAAGTTTTCATCTTTCATTGTCATGGTACAGTTTTGTATTCTTAATCAGGAAAGGTTATCTTGCCTTTTTTGCCATGGCTATGTTCTACATTATTTGTCAAGGTGAGTTTTCCTCCCTCTATTGCCATGTAAAATAATTTCTTGATATGATACCTCTATTATTAACTTAAAGTAAGTTATCCCCCACTTACCTCACCCTTTCCAATGGTTTAAGTGTAAGTCAGAATCAGTCCCTTTTACTCTCTGCAAAGTAAGTGTGAGTTTGGTTAAATGGTGATACTTTTTTATATCATTGAATTTAAGTCAAACTCATTCCTTTGTTTTGAGGGACATTATATCCTTGTTTTTACATAAAAAAAATCCTTGTAATAAGACTTGTGTTTTTTCGTGATGTCAAAATTTTAAGTTTGGAAATAGTATATCATCTTATAAAGTTTTCTGCAGCTTCGTTATGCAGGGCGGGGAAGAGATCTAACAAATATTACCTGTTTACGGTAAGTAGATTGACTAATATTACAACTGTTTACCTGTTTTTGTTGACAGATCTGTATATCGGGAGCTAAGGGTCTTCCCCCAGCCTTGTCTAACTTCGTATTCTGTCAGTACACCTTTTGGGGGAATGAAGACACTGTCGTTGTTCCACCTGAGATTCACCCCGACTCTTCCGCACACAAGAAATCAGACACCATATCATTCAAATTCCAGCACAGCAAGGTAAGACTGCAGGTTTATTTTACTGTAGAAAGTGTAGACCCTCAAAATATGCACAATTTTTTTTTTTATTATTAAAACCAAAAAATCAAACATACCGGTATCAAAGACTCTTGTTAACACACACTAGAGCACAACAGCCTATATGTGCTTTGTTGTTAGTAAGTATGATACAAAGTTTAACAAGATTCTGAATTATTAGATAGTGATAAAATTAGGTGAAATTAATTAAAGGGAGATAACTCACATATGATATTTGTAAGATAACATAAAACAAATTAAGGGAGGTAACTGAAAAGTAATATTTGTAAGGTAGAATTATTTGATTTGAAAACTACACTTGATAACACTATATATCCATATTTTTTCGCTGAATTTGGTAAACAATTAATCGAAGTTCATTTAAGGGAATTCAGGGAATTAAACACAGATATTTGAAAAGTGTTCTGTTGAATTTCAATGTACTACAGGCAGTAACCAAGGTGAGTCTCTGAAGTTTATATATCTGTATGTACCTGACATAAATTCTGCATATAATAAGAGACAATCAGAAACACTAAAACCATGCTTTGCTTAAAAAAGTAATATGTATTTTGCTATATCATCTTCTATGAATTATTTCGTTCATAAAATATGTCTTAACATAAAATATGTCTTAACATAAAATATGCATGGCAATATTTCAATGATGGAAACCTAACAAACTACTATCACAAACAGAAACTACCTGCTGACATGATCTGTATACCTATATTTCTAACTATTCCAACCTTCTGTATCCGGGGATTATATATTCTCTTACCCTGGACAAGTATATCAATGCTTTTCCCGGTGTGAGATATCCTTGTCTCACCCTAGGTTTGAGACAGGGAGTCCCTTATTTATAACAATTGTATGACGTCACATCAAACAACATAGTGACATCAAGTCAATAATGCATCAACGTCGTGTCAAACCTGCATTTAGACTGTAACTTTACCATTTTATTATGTTTATGATACACATGGGTGAACATCGGTAAAAGAAAATGAATCATTCACCCGATTCAGGCGAGACAGGGAATCTTAACCCTGAGGGAAAGAATCTTAAGTTGCCAAACACTCAGCAAAGTTTGGCAACTTAGGAATCTCCCCCTTGGGTTGAGATACCCCCCCTATCTCATCCCAAGGGCTGAGAGATTTTATTACTCTTTTCCTGTGTCCTTACTAGCCCATTGTCAGGATATTGTGCCAGGGTGGAATATATCATGCAACTGGGTCAAGATTATGACATTTCTGTAAGACAATACATATAAGTAGCTCTTGTAACATTTGTAAACAAGATCTTCATATGACCTTAGCTATTGCAAGGACACTAAATCTTTAATGAACAGACAAAAATACTGGGTGATAATTGATAATTATTGTTCTGAGACCAACTTGACTGTCAGTGATCTCTCTTTTGGTGGATTATTGGTTTGCAAAACAACGGGCGTGGGTTGGAATCCTATAAAACCTGGTGCCTTGTGACATGCCCTGATTACAAATACTGTGTGTGCCTGTGAGAGGATTCACAGGAACTCACATTAGTAATTTCGTTAGTCAGCAAAACTTTTGAAAAGAAAGGATGGTGTGTGTAGCAGACTTGGACTAGATGAAATACCAGAGAATCATATTACTACATTAATGATTGAACCCAGTTAGTCCAAGCAGTCTGTTTATGGAAGAAGAAAAAGAAATAAAAAAACCTATCAGTTTTGTTGATAAATGATATTGAGACTGTCACAATGATAAATAAATCTGTTTTACATTTGAAAATATTTCACTATTTATCATCTAAAATACTTTGTTGAATTTTATCAGTTGGGTTTAGATGAAAACTAAGTATGAATATTGTATATACCCCATTTTTAAATGAATACTTCTACTGTAAAAACGTAAAACAAATGATAACCTGTGAAGATTTACTGTGAAAAGAATGCTTTCCCCTTTTGTTATAGATCATGTATACATATACTGATGATTAGAGTGTTTGGCCTGATGGTGATGTATATTATTATTTTTTCAGGACTTTAAAGTTTATATAACAGAGGAGTTTATAGAGCACTGTTCAGAAGGAGCTTTGTCTATAGAAGTTTGGGGCCACAGAAGTCCAGGATTTGGTCTGGTCAACAACGGGATGGACAACATTATAGCCAGGTCAAGGACCTTAGCAGACAGGTCAGTTGTAAACTAAAGGTCAAGGATGTTAGCAGACAGGTCAGTTGTAAACTAAAGATCAAGGATGTTAGCAGACAGGTCAGTTGTAAACTAAAGTTCAAGGATGTTAGCAGACAGGTCAGTTGTAAACTATAGGTCAATGAGGTTATTAGACAGGTCAGTTGTAAACTATAGGTCAATGATGTTAGCAGACAGGTCATTTGTAAACTATAGGTCAATGATGTTAGCAGACAGGTCAGTTGTAAACTATAAAGGTCAAGGCCATAAGACAGATCAGCAATAAGGTCAAAGAATTAAGATGTTAGCAGATTGGTCAGTTGTAAACTAAAGGTCAAGGATATAAGACAGATCAGCACTAAGGTCAAAGAATTAAGATGTTAGAGGACAGGTAAGTTGTAAACTAGAAGTCAAGGACATACAAAAGATCATTAATAAGGGCAAGGATGTTAGCAGGAAGGTCAGTGGTAAGTTAAAGGTCAAGGAGATTAGACAGGTCAGAATTAGATAAGGTCAAGGAGATTAGACAGGTCAGAATTATATAAGGTCAAGGAGATTGGACAGGTCTTGGCTGGTGTGAGGACATTAAAACACCAATCAAAAACAAGTCTTTACGAATTTAAAAAAAAAATAATAATAATAAGTTAGAATTTAGTATTAACTTACTTAATTATTTGGATTTATTTTCATCTTCAGGAATTCTATTAAGACATATGACATTCCTTTATTACTGTTGGGATATAAATGTAGGTGTATGTATACTAAATCAACCGACTGTCCCGTTGACATATTTGCTATAGTCCAGACTTAGCTCTGTCTTGTGGCTGATTTATTACAAAATACCATTCAGTGGAAATCGAATAATCCAGAAAGATTTACAATTTTACCGTTTATGATGCAGCCTGCATTGTATACAGCATCCCGCGTATGTATTGTATCATTGTGTTGTCTACATACGTATTGTGTGGTGCCCTAAGTGCCTGCTTTGAACATTTCTTATCTCCATGAAAAGATAACAGAAAAGAAAATGGATTGTTGGCTTTACGCCTATCTCAATGCCTTATCTGTCTCTATAGACTGCAGAGGCTGTAAAAGAGCGGGATAAGGGATCAATATAGGCTGTGTGTGTCTCCTGACACCAACTCATCAGGGGCCAAACTTTTAATTTAAAAAAAATGATAGGTTAAACATGATGAGAAAATGCCGATAATAAATGATTTTTTGATCAGATTGTACAATGTCTTTAAAGAAAAATATCCAAGCCTACAGAAAGTCAAATTTGAAATTGATCTCCTAAGTGAACTTATGGTCATGATGTGGTTGATATGTACAGCATGTTACCTGTAATATACCTGTGTGTACAGTGTTACTTGTTACTTACCTGTGTATAGTGTGTAACCTGTAATTTACCTGTGGGTGTAGACTGTTACCTGTAATTTACCTGTGGGTATAGATTGTTACTTGTAAATTACCTGTGTATAATGTATAACCTGTACTTTACCTGTGTGTATAGTTTGTTACCTGTAATTTACCTGTGTGTATAGTTTGTTACCCGTAATTTACCTGTGTGTATAGTTTGTTACCTGTGATTTACCTGTGTGTATAGTTTGTTACCCGTAATTTACCTGTGTATACCTTTTTACTTACCTGTGTATGTAGACTGTTACCTGTAATTTACCTGTGTGTATAGACTGTTACATGTTATTTACCTGTGTTTACAGCAATATAGTTTATAACCTGTATTTTAAATGTGTTTACATCAGAATGATACCTGTGTGTATAGATTGTTACCTGTTATTTAACTGTGTTTACAGCAGTATAGTTTACATCAGAATGATACCTGTTTGTATAGATTGTTACCTGTATTTTAGATGAGTTTACATCAGAATGATACCTGTTTGTTGTCTATGTATACAGCAAGTTACTGTTCATTTTTCTGTTCAATTTTAGATGGAGTGAGGTTATGAGACAGATAGAATTATGGACAGAAGTACACGAACTTAACCACCAGGGGGAGTATGTTCCTGTCCAAGTACAACCTAAACCAGAGGTGCCATCTGCAGGGGTCTTCCAGTTACAGCAAGTAAGGGGCCATAACTCTTATAATATGAATCATTTCTGGAAAACCTATTCACAAAAAAAGAAACAATATATTTATCTTATGAATCATTATTGGATGACAATCAACTTTTGATTGGGGAACAGCATGTTTCAGTACTTCGGAAAAGTCGTTTGGCTATTTTATAAGAATTTTGGCTCTTGGACAAAAGTTTCAACTTTTCATGTGTTAAACTTTGCTTTTGTGTCCTGTGTTGCTGATTTTTGTGAAGGTACAACCTCATCTAATGCTTTATACCATTCTTTGTTTCAGGGTCATACAAGGCGAGTGTTTGTGCGGATAAAGCCAGTGGCAAACTCCGGGACCCTGCCTCTCATCTGTGACTCTGTATCATCTATACAAGTCGGATGTATCTATGTACGCAACAAAATCCAAAAGGGGCTGGACAGTTACCAGGAGGTCGATCTTACACATCTGCGGGACAGGTGGTCAGACGCACTGGCAAGGAGGAAAGATTACCTGAACGAGCAACTCCAGAAGCTCATTAACAAGCAAGGTACATCACTTAACTTTTTTACCACTGCAGACCATAATGGACTCATCTAGATTAATGCATAGTAGAGTCTGCAAAAGTTACATAGGTTTGAAAGGGTTAAAAAAAATAGGGCTTTAGTAACAACAAGATATGTCAATATTGTCACCAGACGAAGCCAATTTCAGTTTTAAATATCATCAAAAGAAATAGTTGAAGAGTTCAGACATGAGGCTAGCACTGTTGCAGTCTTCCCCATCTGATGACAGTTTTTGAAGAATGAACTAGTGCCCAATTTATGTAAAAAGAAATATTTTGAAAGTTGAAATTCTTTTGTGTCGGAATGTTAGCGCTGTTGCTCTTTGGTTTGGTTTGGTTAAGTATCGTTTAACGTCCTATCAACAGCTATGGTAATTTAAGGACAGCCTCCCCTGTGTGCAAGATGCATGCATGTAGTGTATGTGTGCGTGTTTTTGGGAGGCTGCGATATGTTCGTGTTTGTCTCCTTGTGATAGCGCAGAACTGATGCCAACTTTATAGTGCTACCTCACTGAAACATACTGCCGAAGACAACCAGCAGGACACCCCACCCGATCACATTATACTGACAACGGGCGAACCAGTCATCCCACTCCTAAATTGCTGAGCGTTGAGCAGAAGTAGAAACTATCATTATTACTCTGGTATGTCTCGGCCGGGGGACAGAACCCAAAGCCTTCCTCACAGGGGCGAACGCTCAACTAAAGACCAAAAGTGAGGCATTGTCAAGGGAAACAATAGGAAGAAGAAAGTTGTTTAGAAAGAAGAGAAAAGATAAGATCCCAAATTTAGTCGCCTCTTACAATCATGTAATGGGGGCAGCAGGTACAATTCTTACGCCCTACTTGCAGGGACATGTTACTCTTTATTATGATTGAGGTTGGGGAAGCTGGATGATGGTTGTCTAGGGCCTGTATTCATGAAACCTGGCTGCAATCTCATACTCAAACGTGATTTCTGTTCTTAAACCGACTTTCTTGTTACTAGCTGAATCATGATACATAAGATTTGAATAATTTATCACTGGAACAAAAACATTGGCTTGAAGAAATAATTTGAGTTTGGGTATGTGAATGAATTTATCGACTTGTAAAGTCAAAACAACCATGATATTACTTTATTCTTGTCAATGTGTGACATAAAAGGATTGTCTTGACCCTAAAGTCTGTTTTGTAACAATTGTCTACTGTACACAGATAAGTCGGACTCGGACGTGGATCGAGAGAGGGCCTTGATGGATCAGTGGATGTCGCTGACAGACGAGAGGAATGCCGTCATGGTGCCGAGTCCAGGCAGTGGTATTCCCGGGGCACCTGCGGAATGGTAACTTAGCAACTCCTACGCTTTTTCATTAATTACACAGAAATTTGTATGTGAGGTTGACTCTTCACAGCTGTTATATAAAGCTTGATCTAAGTTAGTTTTCAAAATATGTCAGAATAATAAAAGGGATTAACAAGAGAGTTCATGAATGTCATTTAGACAACAAAAATTGATTTGGGTTATGAACGAGTTTTGAGATATATTTATGATTTTTATCTCAGTTTTAGGGAGGCCCCAGAAGATCTGGAGGAGCACAGACCTGTACTGTTTCTAGATTTAAACGGTGAGTTACTGAGGTAGACAGCAAAACGTCTTAAAATAAAAAGATTTCAAAAAATAAGAAACAGTATTTTGAAATGTAAGCTCCTTAACCCAAACTCTCCTCTATTGCCTGCTGGGTATGAAAGTAGTTGCTGAAACGTTTTGAGGGTTCTGTAGTTTTGTCTGACAAACTCCAATAAATATGGAAGACTTGCTCTTTAAAAATTTCACTGAACTGGGAAGACTAACTCTTGATAAGATTGAGTGAGCTGGAAATATTAATTCCTGTTAAACTAGATTGACAGGGAAGCCTTACCCCTGATTTTGCTTCCAATAGTAGCACAATAAAACAGCTGTACCTAAAGGGAAATAACTCTGTGAAAACAAAAAGAGGTGCTCTGGGACATAGCTGTTAGGCCTTCTGTCCCATTATCAGCTTGTGCAATGATTTAATACAATCTTCATGTGAATCTTAATTATCTTGAATCTCCTGAAATATTTATTAGTAGCTGTCAGAATGTTCTCGCTGAAGTTTTTTTACAGAACTTGTTATGAATGTATATATTGGTGCTATTATTATTTGCTTTACTGTTACAGCGGACGATATGAGTACGTCAGGAGTCAAGGAAGGGTTCCAGGCCGCGGGTGTTAATTCCATTTTAGTTAAAGAGCATGCATCCACTTTTGTTAACCTACCTATCATCAAAACATTCACGGAGAAAGATAATGTAAGTACAGGTCCATTATAGACCGATACAGTTGTTTGTGCTTACAAGTGTTGACAGGGCTTAAAAACCAGTGGAAACAGTTTCTGTTACCAGTACAGAATTAATGAAGTCAATTATTTTTCATTTTTATCGGTAGGTATTCAATTAAGTGAAGCTATATTTTAAAGCTTCTATCTAACAGAAAATATAAACATTTGACTATAAAAAAAAGTAAAGTAATGCTGAAATTAAAAATGGAATTTATGTCAATTAGAGAAAGTATGTGTAGATTTGATTGGTATCTGACTCGGAGAAAATCCGCCTCTAGTGACTCTAAAGCAAATTTCTGGCTGACAATAAAATATATTCCTGAAGAAGAAATGAACCTTACTTGTTGCTAGAATAGATATAAAACCAGTAATAATTAAATGAAACAGTGAAATCCAAACTAAGGGAGAAGCACATTGATTATCAGCTAAACCTCTTGTATTGTTTTGTATTGTAGAATAATAGACTTCAGGTAAACAGTGCAATTTGGCTGAGCAGTGATTTATTGACAGGCGTATACAAAGTCCTTTAGTAATTCACTTATCTATAGCCTTAGTGGAAGTGTATGCCAGTGATTAACACTAACCTCTAGTCCCACACCTACCCTCTGTCTGAGGGCCAGCCAAAACAAAACTCAGACCTTTTTACTTCAACTGTAGCACAAAGTGATAAACAGTTTCTACCTGTCAGTGCCTTCCTTACAGAGACAACGGATGGTTTATTTGAACCCTGTGCATTTAAGGGAAAGAATACACCCTCTGTGTTACCGTAAGAGCTGACTGGACCCTGTAGAATCAAAAGTTTTCTTAACCCTTTCACCACTGTAGACCATAATAGACTCATCCATATTAATGCATGGAAGAGTCTACTTAAGTTACATAGGGGTGAAAGGGTTAAGCGTCTCAATCTACCTGGAGGACACTGTAGAGATCAAAATTGATCTGCTGCCATATTGTAACACTTGAGATCTTACTTGTCCTATCCTATTTTCTTTACTCTTTACTTTTTTTCGGCGTCTCCCTTTAGATACCCGGTACCCGTCTTCATATGATCTAGCTGAACTTTTGCGAGGATGTTAAACCCCAAACAACCTTTGACTTTTACACCATCTGTTAAGTTGCTGACACCGTCTCAGAATCACAGACCGTGTGAAGGATCTCAGTTGTACAGAACTCTGTCTTACCTGTTATCAGAGATTATACTGAGGCTGTGTTTGAGCTTTTAAGGAATGTGTCAAAAGTCACTTCACCAAGGTCATTTGACAAAGATCACACAGGGCTACTCAAGAAATGTTGCCTGACAAAGGTCAACTGGTAGAGGCTACATGACAAAGATCACCTAGCTGGCAAAGGTTATATGTCAAAGGTCATAGACAAATGTTCCATGGAATAGGTCATATACTAATGTTCCATTGACAAAGGTCAAATGGTAGAGGTCTGATGACAAAGTTCACCTGCCAAAAGGTTACCTGCCAAAAAGTTACATAGCAAAGGTCATAGATAAATGTTTCATAGAAAAGGTCATATACCAGTGCTCCATTGACAAAGGTCAAACATTGCATTTAAGGTCAATGATTTAATGGAAATCCTGTTGTCTTGGAGCTTAGCTTTATAGCATAAAAATATACTATGATATAATTAGACTGAGTAGCTTTAAGGTTTGAAGGGCTGTTGATTGTGTACTATAGTTTGGGGATTTTTTTATAGTCTCACAGACTTTTATCCTAGCTCATTTAACCTTCTTTACAGCACCCGTTACACCTGATATACAAACACATTACAGAGCGTGTAACAGTGTGTGCTCTAACTAACTCTAAAAGACTGATGGTTTTCATCAAGACTAATGAAGTGTATACAATATAATAGTTTACCTTTAGTCTAGAAATATAACACAACACTGTACAAACACTAAACCAGTAGTAAAGTCATTAAGCTGGATGTATAGTGTTCCGTATGCCAATTGTACTGATTCAGATAACAGTTTTCTCACTTTTGACATTAAAACATATTTATATAATTTTGCATCTAAACTACATTGAGTGTATGTAATACATAGAACACTGGTGTCCACATAATACCTGCCTTTGTTGCATATATTCAGACAGGTAAGCAATGCACCTGTATCATATATTGATACTCATAACAGCAATCGTTTAACAGTATAACCTAGGGTTACATTGTAATGAGGCCTGGGTTTAGTGCTAGGTAGTGAGTCATGTTGTTCCCTATATATCCAGCCGGCCATCCATCCATCATCTTGTCTGAGGCATATCTCAAAATTGTTTATGGACGACCTTTTGGGATGGCAGAATGTCCTGTACTGAAATCAGGTCATGTGCCCTTCTAGTTCTATTAACAAAGTTATTGCCCTTTATCAAACAAGCATAACCTTTTTCAAGGTTTATCTGATTTATTCTATCTCCAACTTTGCCAAATTTTGTATTCAATTACATTGAGATTGGAGAAGAGTCTTTTTTTCTGAAATTGAGTTTTGCCTTCCACGATAGAGTTATGGTGAATCGTGAACAGAGTTATGGCCCTTTGTTCACTTTTCATGTTTGTCGTGAAGTTGGGAGGAATGTGGATTGCTCATTATAATTTGCCTCATTTATTTATTATTTACAGTAAATCACTAACATTTCCTAAATTACAGATATTTGAAATAATTCACATTATAACACAGAGAATCGATAGTGAATTTTAAAATGTAGCTAGTATTACAAATATTCTAATTCAAACGGATATCAGTTATTTTTCTCTTAATGATTGCCAAAGCTCATGAATAATTAAATTAAAGATGTTAATAAGCATGTACAAGACAGGAAATAAGTAAAAACAAGCATGAATAAATCAGAAAATAAGTGTATCAGACTTTTAATTGGTGTGATTTTCTGTATCTCTATATATCATGGCATGTAGCAGTATTAGAATGATCTTAATGTTTGCTCCTTTTAGCATATATTTAGTTCTTTGTTAAAACAAATATTACCAGTATCATACTTGGTCTATCTATCAAGTGTTTTTTTTTATTTAAAACTGACAATTCTAGTTATAAATGATGAAAGATCAACTTCCTATTTCCAATCTAGGGTTTAATTGTCTCAGTCAACCAAACAAGTTGGGTGTAAGCTCTTTGATGGTTTCTTATTTACACTGGTACTTCAAATTTTAAAACTTCTTTGAAATTTTGTGTGGAACAATCATTTTTTATGTCATACAAAAACTAAGTGAATGAAGTGAAATGTAATCCACACAGACCCAATATGACTTTTGTTTCACTGCTAATTATGTAACTATATAATCATGTGAAAAACATATCAGCCTGGGGGTCGCTGTACGACGAAGTACGGTATTTAACTTACTAACATATAACTTCACAGTTTTACTTCCAATCACTGATGCGTGTCTGATTCACCATTAAGTCTACTTCTACATTCGTTCCTTTAGTTGTTTCCAATTAAATAGAGATTTTTTTTTATAGTAATCCTACTTTAGAAAATAGAATCATCTTTAATAGTAGTGATATGTTATTGTCTGGTAAACACTTAAGTCTTTAACAATTTATTCTGATAAATTCAATAAATGGAAGGATTCTTCAACAAGAAATTAACACTGCCTTGTCTTGGCAAAATCATTTCTTATAAGTTTTTATGTTGTTCTTACAGTTGAATTCAATTTTGATTTTACAGGTTTGCGCTGTTGCATCCTGGGATTCCTCAATTCACGATTCGCCGTACCTGAACCGTGTGACACAATCCAATGAGCGTGTGTACCTCATTCTTAAGACAGTGGTGCGATTGAGTCACCCGGCGTACATGGAGCTCGTGTTACGTAAACGCATGTGTATTAACATCTACAATAACTTCAGTATATCTAATCTAACGGACCGGCTCAAAAAACGCATCACAGGGGCTGAGAAATCTTTCGCCAGCGGAGTTACGTACGACGTCGTGTCCAATATACCAAAGGTTCGAGTCTCCAACACCATGTTATCCAGCATTAACTTTTTACTACAATGTCATAAGTATCTTCCTGTGCCCATATTTTTTTTTTTTTTTAATCTAAATCTTAGACAAATTATGGTCACAAATATTTTTTGACTTTAACAAGCACATTAACCTGATTGATCAACTCCCCTGAAAAATCAATTCTGGTTTTCTTAATGTAAGGCATGTTGATAATAAAGACCTTAATTAGAGTGCAAGTAATAGAATGTTTTTTTCCCTATACAAAATAAAATAAAAAATCCCCATCCCAACCCCAATCATCTCACCAACCTTATGTAAAACTTCTTTTTCTGAATCTCTAGGCATCAGAGGACTTAGAGAACATGGAAAGCTTAGCACAAGTGGCTGCCTCTCAGAATGAAATCAGTGCCACAGATGGAGAGACATACATTGAGAAGTACATCAAAGGGATATCCAGCGTGGAGAGTATACTTACCCTGGACAGACTAAGACAGGTTCGGCCAATGTAGAATCTAGTAACGTTATTGTCATGTACTCAAAAATTGTTCTGTAATCCATTGTGTGAAGAGAATTCTGACCCCAAAATATAGCGAAACTAGACTGAGTTTTTCCCCTGCAATCAGGAAGCTAAATAATGGTTAGAGCATCTGGCTAGAGCTTGGAGATTCAGGGTTCGAGTCCTGGTCTTTTAAATTTGGCATCCAACTAAATATATATACCCACAGAACATAATATATATAGCAACCAACATACTCAATTGGTTAGAGTGTATATCTAGATTTCGGGCGTCCAGGGCCCGTATTCATGAAATATTTCTCATGCTCAAACACAGATTCTGTACTCAAACCGACTTTCTTGTAACTTACTTTATTCATGTTAAACAATCAAAAAAGTCAAATGTAAACACTGAAAACAGTATTTAGCTTTAATTTAAGCCCCTCAAAATTTGTCCAAATCATTGAAAAAAATAAGATATTTTTAACAATTTATAACCAGAACAAGAAATTAGGCTTGAGCCCAAAATCCTTGCCTGAGTAGAAAACTGTATCATGAATACGGGCCCTTGATTTGAATCCTGGTCTGGTGGTGAATTGTTTCTTTCCAGTTACACAATCATAGACTTATCAAGGTACATGCACATTATAGAATCTATTAGTGTTATTGTCAGTACTGAAACATATACCCACATATTTAAAGCGGAAAATATTCGTTGGTAGATCTATTTTGTGTGTCATCACCTATTATATGTAATATGAGAATTTATATTAATATGAAATTTGGTTTGTTTGTAGAATGTAGCAGTGAAGGAATTGACGGCGTCTACCGGTTTAGGACTTAGGAAAACTACAAGTGTGCCCAATATACATGCTGTAAGTATACTCTAGCTTCAGTAATACTCGAAGGAACTCACATTAAAAGTGTTCTGACATTATAGCTGTGATATATATAACAGTAAGGTAAACTTGACTCATTCACCCCTGAAGACACATTTGAACTCTTCCAGTTCAAAGGTTGGAATAGTTCATTATGACATGTCAGTGGTGAATGAGTTAAGCATTGACTTTTGATCTTTTGCTGTGAAAATAACATGAAATACTTTATAGATGAATACTTCTTGGCTGTGATGTTTGTCAATAAATCAAAGTATGAGACTGTTGACATATCAACAACAGTATCTGCAAATATTTCCTTCCTCTATTTGATGTTTAAATTAATTTTCTTATTTTGAGTCAAAATTTAAGCCTGCGTTATTAACCCACATTATGGTATCATATTCTTTACAGAATTATTTTAGAACTATTTCAAAAATATTAAGTCTTAATTTACAATTAGATATTATTTTTTTATTCCAACCTAATTAATGTTTGTTTGGGTTATCAGTCCAATATATAGAGAGCATCATAATAAAGCATTATGTATGTAAGACGTACGTTGTTCTGTTGAACTGTACAAAATATTATCTGTGTGTTGCAGGGCGCTCTCTCACCAATGAAATTAGAAGGACAGGTAACACAACTTTTGTACTACTGAAGGAATCTGGTGCCGTTTTTGTTCAAGACTGATCTTTGTTGATCAAACCTTTGTTTTGTTAATTTTGTCACAAACAGTTGCTGTTACTAGGGCTGTTACAATATATCAGAAAACAGGGCCCACTTGTATAAAACATCTCAACCCTTGAGATTTCCTCAAGTCTAAAATTACCCATAGACAATACATTGCTTGAGATTTTCCTTAATTTTGAGATGTTTTATACAAGTGGGACCAGGTATATTGCAATACATGGGTATATCGTATCGTACCACAATACAGAGATGAAATATTGCTGCATCGCAAATTTTTTCAAAAGCATATTTTTGTGTATCTACTTGGTGTTTTAACTTTGCAAATTACTACAAATTCTAACAGATAAGCATAAAGCAGGCTTTTAATAGTTCAAATTGTGTAATCTATGGTTAGTTTGACAAAAATCTTAAATCTATGTTATCCATATTATATATGAATAAGTTTGATAACATTCTGACCTCAGCCTATTATAAAATTGAGCACATCCTTCCTATGATAATATATCGGGATACGTTATAATCGCAATATATTCATTCTGTATTGCGATATATCGTGATATACTCTTTGCGTATTGTGACATCCCTAGCAGTAGCTGTTACAGTCATCATTCGGCAGTCAATCAAACGTGGTATTGACCCAAGGATATTGACTAGGCTGTAATTGCATCTGGTCAGAAAAAATACAGAAAAAATAATAGACTGAAAAATAATGAAGCTTTGTAGCCATTTACATGGATTTCCAACCTGACAATTAAAGCAATCTGTCTTCCAACTTTATCTTTTTTTTAAAGTGAACTATTTTCTCAGTAAAGTTGAAAGAATTTTCTAGAAACAAAAAAACCTGTTATAATAAGTATATGTGAATTGACAAAACATGACATCCTTATTTTGGTTCTCCAGCTTCGAGCAGACAGCATACAGGACCTTTCGTTGGATGCTCTGTCATTAGGACAACTTGGCTCGCACCCCGGTGAGTTTTCTCGTAAACGATCTCTATCGTTGGTTGGGATGGACCTAGCAACCATTGCCAAGGAACTCACTAAACAATGTATCGTAGTTCTAGGTGGGTAGTTCACTCATTGTCCAACATTTTTCTGGGATATTTGTTTACAGTTTGCTCAATATTGTATCACTTCAGTTTTGTTTTATTTGAATTTTTTTTATTTTCATCCAAAGAAAAGCTTTTCATCTTATTCTGTTATTTTTGGCTTTCAAAAGTATATAAAAGCTTGAAATGAAATTTGATTTGCAGTAATCGTTCAAATAACTTTTTGCTGGAAAAATCAGTTTGGGCAAGAAAACGCATTGTCATGATACTGCTTCAAGTGAGTGGGTTTGTAATCTTGCTTTATTTTCTCAATATTATTTGCATTTTTTATCGTTTATTTTTGTTTAATTTTTATTTTTTATTTTTCATAATTTTTCTATTCTACTGTATACTTATTTTACGCTGTCTTCCCTCCTGATAAATAAGGTATAGACTCTTCTGTGGCGAAGAAGTGTCTATTACAAATGAAAGGAGTGTTTCTGCAATAATACTTGGCAATGGTTTCTGTTGTGCTTTGTGTGTGATGTTGTTTATGAAAAACTGCTTTCAAATTGTTTATTAAAAATGAAGAAAATAACATGTTTTTTGTAATTAATTTTGCTAAAACATTTTATGACCTGGGACTTTTTTTACATGAAAAATGAAAAATTTGTTTATACGTTATTGAACTGACACCGTCCTTACTGACAGGTATCCTTAAGAAGCATGTGTAATGTGTAGAGATTTGAAAAATAAGCACACAAAAATATTGTTAATCTAATTAAATGCCATTTTTAGTTGAATGATTTTTAATTTTAACGTTGCCACTTGGCTGAGAAATTAATTTCACACTTATGTAAATAATTCTATAGATAAATCCCCAATGTTAGCTATATAATACCTGATGAGGTATAATATGTAATTAATATCTGTGTACTTTTTCTCTCTGCTCAATTTCAGGTGAGATTTTACATTCATCTCTCTATCATTTTTTAACTATGACATAAACAGTTGAGCTTGTTATTTAAGTTTGTGCTCCTCTTTTGGTTCTGATCGCGACACTGCAATAAGGTGTGACTTGGCGTGCGTTGTTGTGTTTAGTGGTGCATTGTACTTATGCCGTGCCATCGCTATGAACCTGGTAACCATGACAACCAGTAGAAACTCTTCACCTCATCAAACCGTTGAAATGACTAGTAGGTCTCGGCATTGAAGCTGGAGAAGAAATAAATTCTAGGAGAACCTCTTTAGGAATATCTTGTTCACTGTGCACACGGTTTATAGTTACCTTCTACACTAGAATAGTAATTCAGAATTACCTGTATATAAGAGAACCTGTTTAGACAGAACTTCTACAAAGACCTATCTGGGTAAAAACCTGTTTAGACTGACCATTGACCCAAGAAAACCTATTTAGACTATCTACATAAAATATGAAAAAAAAACTGTTTATATCAACTTTAGATAAAAACTTGTTTAGACAAACCTTCTACATCAGAAAACCTGTGTATATTGGCTACTTAAAAACCTGTTTAAAGTGACCATCTTTATAAGAAAACATATTTACATTGACTATGTAAATACCTGTTTAGACTGACCAACTGCATAAGAAACCCTGTTTATATTGACCTGCATAATAACCTTTTTAGACTGATCATCTACACAAAGGAAGCTGTTAATGTTGGCAATAAACAAAAGAAAACCATCTTATACTGTCATGATCAGAATGTTAAAACCTGTTTTATTGAGTCTACTTGTGCATAGGAAAACCATTTGAGACATAGCCTATAGGAAAATCAGCTTATCCTGATCCCTACACAGTGGAACTCCACAAAGCAGACATATAGCCTGTACATAGGATAACTGGCCTTTATCTCCCCCTACATAGTACAACAGCTCGGCCTACCAGATTTCACTCCTGTCCTATACAGTTGTAGTAGTTAACTATACCTAGAGGACCTTGACTGGTTGTTAGGTTGGCCAGGTTGTGTGGTGGCGGGTAGAAGTAAGCTTAGGTTGTATATATATAATAGGCTGTTATTGTCTTCACAAATCTCTGCAGAATCCTGATGCACACAACTCGCCTCGTCTTAGTCAGAACTGAATGTTGGCTGTTATACAAGGGAGATAACAATGGAAAATTTCTTCATAAACACAGCTCTATTAGAGAACAAAAATCTAATTTTCTGAAATTATCTGAAATTTTAATTGCAATCTTCTGCTTTTCTTATGCTGTTTTGAATAAAGACATTATAAAGAAGATTTGCATTTTTTGTTTGTGTTCAGAAGTCTTTATTTAGAGCTATAAATATGCTGGATAATAAAATCATATAAATTTTCTGATTTGTCTTTGGCATTACCTACAGTCATCATTTGTATGATATTTAGAGTTACAGTTTATAAAGAAATGTACATCAACGGATGTAAATATGTTTTCTTGCCGTTAAATGTCATTGTGATCTGATTACTATAAGAATGGCTTCAACTTGTGTGCTAGGTAACAGTCTATATATAATCATCTGTGCACAGATTATAAGGATTAAATGGCATACTGTCTTTTTGAAAATATTTTGTAAGAAAATGTTTTAAGAATATATTGTTAAATTGAATTTTAAGATGTTTTAGTACTTTTTGTGCTGTGTAACTAGACTATTAATTACATTAAGACGTTAGATAGAAACATCTTTAATTAGGTATTAATACACTATTGACAATGCTAGTAATTTGTATATTTTCAGCCCGTCCAAACTTTTTGAACTTGAGAACAAATTCGTATGGTAGCATTTCTAAGAGTAGGTCTTCTTCTTTGTGGCTATTATGAATGTGGTAGAGTCTGTTATGAATGTGGTAGACTTGGTAGTGTTGACCTTGGATGTAACCATCACCTGACTTAGTGTATTGTGTGTACATGTTGTCGTGGGCACTCCACGGTGCTGACTCCTGGTGGCAGAATTGACCAGGGGGGATAACTAGGTAACATAGCTCCTTTCATTTTACTAAAAAAGTATATAAGGACTAGTTTAGATGCATAAGTACAAATGTTTTTGTCAATCTTTAAAAAAATGGAAATTTTATGTAAAATTGATATGGTAAGAGATATTGAATGAGCTATGGTATCTTATAAACTTAATACAAAGACCTGTTCTAGAGCTTACTCTAACTCAGACTGTCAGGAAAACTTTGTCAAATATCAATTTGTCACTATCTCTCTTTTGTTGCCTATTCACACAAAATAACAGTTATATTCTATATTTTGATCAAATTTCTTACGAAACCCAGGAGAATATCCTTCGTTGAACCTAATGCTGTGATTTTTCCCTCCGTTGTACTTGACCTGACAAAGGTTTTCTGTCTGACTGGGTTAGAGGTCATTCCAGGACTATCAGCTGTATTAAGTCACATGGTACTTCTGCACCCAGTATCCATGGAAACAACATTATTTTCAATGTAATGAGGATAATGCCTTGATTTTGAAAAAATGAAGCATAAACGACTGAAGTCAAATTTTTCCTTTTAGCAAACAGTTGTTCAAAGCTAGATCAGTTAATTGTTTTGGATTTTTTTAATGCAAAATTTTTAGTGGACTAGTATTTTTTTATGAAAATATTGAAAATAAAATCAAAATTTAGAACTTACAGTTGACAATTTGGCAGGATTTTCACAACATTTAGGCCTATCTTATGTCATGACGGTTACATCAATCAGCAAAAGACTTAAATTCTGGTTTTAGTGATTATAATTAATCATAGACTGTAATTGGAAAATTACACAGATTTATAAACTTTAGATGTAAAATAACACCTCCTTCATGTTGAGCAAAGCTTAGATATTAGAATAGAGTCGATGGCCCTGAGGAAGCTGCTTATGATGCTCAGATAGTTACAGGACTGTACATAGAGTTGTACCTGTACTTGCATACTAAAATGTATTGTATCTGAAAAAAATAGTTATAATGAGCATATACATACATGTCTAACTTAAACTATTCAAGAGCTCAGATTATCTCTTAAAACCAAGAAACTAAAAATGTTTCTTATTTGAAAACATTTGACCAAAGGATCAGACAGCTTATCTAGTTTTGAACAACTGGCCTGTAAATTGTCTACTGTTAATTTGAACTCAGTCAGTTCATGTATTTTTGATACTCAAACTTTCACATGACATAGAATATGAAAATGCATCTTGAATTTAAAATTGATATTTTTTTTTTAAACTTATATATCAGACCTTTAAAACATATTTACCTGCATAAATTGTAATGTTACCATCTCACCTGAGAATTCCTGGAGTATAAATCTATACATCTGTGATCTACTACATACTTACTGAAGCACCTTGTCCTCCGTGTTCTTGTTTTCTTAAGAGTTTTAGATTAACTCATCCAATTTTTCATTTTCGTATCTTTTTTCGTCATTGACCTTTGATTTCATGTTTTGTTTATAGCACTCTCTCATTATGAAAAAAAGTTTAAAATAGGAGTAACAGACGTAATGTAGAATTAAATTGGAAAAAATGGAGAACGTGTTAGGGTAGAAATAGAGTCATTTGTAAATTAGATAGCTAAAAAAGGAAGGGAAAATGGTAGCCAGGTATTTGAAAACCTGTTTGACTGGTGTGACATTTAAGATAATATTATGTAGAGTTGATAAATAAAACTGATTTTATGCACACATTCAAAATCATTACATTACTGCATGTTGTAATGCACCTGATTGGTTTTGATGCATTTTGCATGTTTCTGCAATGATTTGGTTTAAAACTGCAAGTTGATTTGGCTATAGTTATGAAAATATTTTTATTCTATTCTGAATTTAAATCATGCTTATGTTAAGGTGGAAACATGAAATGTCACAGATATTTTCCTAAGTGAGATGCTGTTTTATGACGGTGTATTTAAAGTATTAGTACACAGCTATGTGATTGTATTGTAGTTATTTAGTAGTGCAAGAAATACAGAAAGATTTTTCCTTGTAGTGTTTAAAGATAAAATAAATATTTTTGGCAAATGATTGGCATGATTAAACTTAATGTAAACAATACATTTTTGCATGATTTTTTAAAAATTTAATTAATATCCCTATGTTTTGTAGAAAAATGTAAATGATTTTCCAATATATTTTTTCATCTACAATATTTTTCCTTTTATTTTCGATTTTAAAACCAAACAAATTAATTCTTCCATACTTTCCTTTTTATTTATTTCTCCAAAAAAGCATGTCAATTTTTAAAAATTATTTCAATACCTACAGTTGATGCACATGTTTTGAAAAAAATACATTAAATGATAGAACAAAACAGTAATACATGTATAATGTATATTTAATATGTGATTTTGAACTAAGATGTGTGTCTCTAGGCAGTGGTGAAGTATACTGTGTTAGTGTGATCGTATAAATCAGACAAAATAGAAATGGCTGTCTCACGCTTAAAAAGTATGGAAAAGTAGAAAATTTGTGGTTAGAATTTATGAATATTGGTATTATTGCTATTTCTCAAAGTAAGAAAGTCTGAATTTTAGATATATCTAAATTAGGTAATATTATAAATATATATTAATATATTATAAAATATATATTATATCAATAAATATTATACTTGTAGATTTTGTTTCTTAAAATTATGAGTTTGCCTGGAAAAATGGTAAATTGATTTGAAACTATACATATGGTGTTTAGTACATTTTTGTGAGACGTACATTGTATAGATTGTAAAAAATGTTGTTACAATGTACAGATTTTCAATTGTATGGTAAATAGTCGGTGCGTAGTTACATGTTACATAAAAAGATACTACTGCCCGTACGATGTCCATCCTCCATATCCAGGGGTTACGCTCACTTGTACTCTCTGCACCCCAGGAACATGTCATGACAAACTCGAAGACTGAGTGTTTACCACCTTGTTGATGAGACAAGAAGACTAGTTTGATCCTTTGTACATCAAAAGAATATTGCGGTCCGGAAACGGTAAAATTGGCTTACTTTGAGGTTGGGCGTCGCTCCTCTGTAATCTTCAAAGGACAGCTTTCCGCCTAGCGATTGGTCAGGTTTTTTTTATCTGAGACAAATCAAATAGCTATTGAGTATCTTCGTGCCTTCAATTTTGCTATGACATATTCCAGAGGTACGAAGAGCGTAAGTGAGCGTAACCCCTGCATGGAGTATCGATGATCTAGGACGTCTTGCAGAGCTGTACATTCAATAGATGGTGTATACTAAATGTTTTAACAAATACACGGTACTGTCATTACCATGTTGTACAGACATTTTGGTGCTATACGTTTGTACAATAAAACATTACCAGTCTGTGTTAGAATGTGTTGTCAGTGTGACAAATTACACATGATATTTTGTAGCTAGAGTGATTAATTCTGGGCCATAATAATAAACTCTTAACAGGACATAAATGATCAAAGACTGTATAGTCTTGTTCACAAGAAAATGCTGTTTTGTATTTTCACAATTTACATATAACATGTCATTATTTTATACAAGTATTTCATGATTCATTTACTTTCTCGTTATTTTGTATTCAGAATCTGATTTATTAAGGTAATCAAATTTAAGTGTGAAGTACTGTTTATTTATATTCTTCCCCTTACAGCTTCTCCAAAGTCCCTTCTGAGCCCCATTGGAACCAAAGTTGCGACGGTGAAACCCATGATGACTTTAATGGAAGAACAGTACCAGAGAGAGACAAAACCACTGCTGAGACAGGATACAGAGGAGGTGAGGCTCCCCACAGGGGCACTTCAAGTTAAACCGTTTGTAATTAGAACATGAACAGATGTGAAGGAGAAGAAAGTTTCAAAATAAACATATAATACATAATTTATTGTTTTAACTTGTACGTAGGAATTCAACTATATACCAGTTAAGGTCATAACATTTTTACATCTGTCAGTTAAATAAACTATAATATAGCTTTAGTTATTGTCATATATACATGTATTCTAGGCTCTTTAAGCAAGGGATGAAATGAATGCAAGTCTACTTGCAAATTTGTCCTGTATCCATGCATGGAAATCCCATGGCACTGGTACAGCTTACACCAAATCAAGAGAGAATTTTAAAGGCTAGCTAAATAAATTAAAATAACTTTGTGTGGTTTACTATCTCAATATTTGATTCATAGCTACCAAAGAAAATATTAAAAATGATGCTGTATAAATGTTTAAAAAAAAAAGTCCATTTTGAAAGTAATGTTTTGAGGATATGTTGTGTTAATAACTTGTCATGTATTTTGTTGTGAAGGACTTGGAAGATGAAGAACCAGATCACAAGCACCACATCAGGCAGGTGGAGCCTGACCCACATAGCATCGGCTCTGATGAGTTCCAGGACTTTGAGTCCTATGAGACCCAGCAGGGGTCACTTCAGGAGGATAACAAGGTTGTGAACTCGACCGAGGATGGACACATTGTCCACTCCTCTACCACTGATAGTCTGGTGGATATCCAAGGTAAAAACTGTACCCCTAGCCTCGTGTCAAGTGGATATGGCTCGCAGGCTGTGTCGATGCTCACTCTATCCTCCGAGGATTCTCTTAGTCTACGAAGTAACGAGGATAACACAGAATCAAACAAAGAGTCTAGAGGTGTTCAGAAAGGCAATGCAGAACAGGCTAATAGTAGTGGGGATAGTGATTTAGAGGAAGGATCTACAGACTCCACACAGGAGGGGGACAAAATCCTGGGGACTGCTGATCAATCAGCAGAGGATACCAAGCAACAGAGTACAATGTTAGAAGATAAAGAAAAATATTTGAGTACAGATGAAAGTCTCAGTGGTAAGGATGTGAGTGACTTGGACATCAGTGTAGCATCTCTGCGGCGTCCCAATCTTCCAGACTTTGACACAACAGGTACATCTTTAGACGAAAGCAAGGGAGATAACTATTCACTTACACAAGACAAGGGCAAGGGAGGTAACTCTACTGGAGAGTGGGTGGATCCATATAGTGAAACTGCAATGGAGGAACTAGAAAAGCTTGGGCTTGATGAGGCAGAGGAGAGCCATGATTTCACAGAGCATCCTACCGAGCAGACTCACAAAGATATGGTGGAGCTATTTATTCGTGAAGACGGGGACAGTGAGCAGGACAAGGGTAGGATTTTGGCGAGTACGCCGATACGTCGACGTAATTTAAACCTATCCAAACGTGCCCGTCCCTCATCTTGCATTGTGTCACCCTCCTCGCATGCAGACACTACAGCAAGTATAATAGAGGAGAGCATGAAGAGAAACAGCCTCGTTCTGGATACCACTGACGATATGGAAACATCAGGTCTGTTATACCTACACGTATATAGGATGACTTTTGACTCATTAGGATAAGCAATATTTTGTCACCGCTTTTTACTTTACAATGCATTTATATTTTAATTCATTTACTTGACATGTGCCTTGCATGTGTTTTAGACTTAAAATATATTGAATAATCTCCTTAACCCTAGGCCGACTAGATTTTGTTCCCCACTACCCATCCAGTCTTCATCATAGTTCATGTTTTCTGTTAAATATATTGTCCCCATGGACTAATACACTATCCCACTATATTTAGCTTGAAATTGGAGATGGCTTTTCCTCTGTACGTGTGTAGGTATTATCATAATAACAACTGTGTGCATCATGTGACCTGTTATTTACCAATGAAAATGTTTCCCTGCATGAACGTACATGTAGGTAACACAATATGTTCCATGTAGATAATATGTTTGATAAACCCTGGTCTGATTATCTAATGCATTATAAGTGAGGAAACCTTCACTATATATTACCGGTACAACAGAAAACACTTACGATATACTATTATTATCAACCTTTTTAATTTGTTCACAGCTGGTGAGGATGCTTTAAGCGTGTGTTCATTCGGAAGTCGAGCTGACCTTGACAGGCTACAAGAAGTTCCTGTGCCACCCTGGATACAGATCGGAGAAAGTGTCATAGTCAATTCTTCTAAGGGCCCTGCAAAAACCGGATTTGTGCAATTTGTTGGGAATGTGGAGTTCGCTGGCGGTCAGTGGGTCGGGGTGGAGCTTGATCTCCCTGAGGGTTAGTACAGTGCACAAATCTAAATGATGGAATATGCAACAGTTTTGGTAACTAAACAAAAATGTTCAGTAATAATATCTGTTAACTGAAAGTAATTGGAAAGTTGATAAATTCTGTCCCAACTTTATTAAAAAAAAATGTCCTGGACCTTATGTGGTTTGAATGTGTCCTCTATTACAAGTCTATTGTTCTGTGCTTGTTTACCAGGGGGGGAAAACACTTTAATATGTATAAATTGCCTTTTAGGCCCTTTCTACTAGTCATTCCATACCTTCTGAACTTAATTGACAAGTGTTCCTATCCTGATATCAGTCACTGATCCTATATGTAACACATTTGTGTATATAAAGCAAATCATAGACAAAATGTTTTAGGTTACTGTACAGTTCATTATCAAATATCATTCTTTTTACTATTCCAGGTAAAAATGATGGTTCTGTGCATGGCATTCGATATTTCAAGTGTCGATCTCGTCACGGCGTATTTGTTCGTCATGACAAGGTTCTCTTGGACAAAAAACGACGAGGATCACGAAAGATGGCAAAGCGGCATTCCATGGGAGCTAAACTTAGTGGCTCAAACTCAAATATTTCCTTTTCCCCGGGAGTGACCTCCCCTGGCGGGAACAGTCCTTCCTATCTCAAAGGAACCTCATCCAGTTACGCGAAGAAGAAGTAATCACCATAGAAAGGATATTTTTTCACTGATCATCATTTTTTGATAGTGATTTTCTGACGAGTTCAGCTGTCTATTATGGGGGTGATCTGTGTCACCGCTAAGCAAATGGATTTTACACTCGATAACAAAGATTTCTGCTTGCATGAAAATCTAAATAAGTAAATGAGGGAATGCAGTGCAGAGAATAATTCCCTCTGGTAACAAATTTTGAGCAAAGACATACAGTTATATTTATCACCTTGGATCAGGAGGGAAAAAAATGACAAAAATTTGCATGTGGCTGTCTTCTGACGAAGAAATTAGACCTAAGCATCTGATCTTCATGAGATCGGCCAGCTAAAATAAATACATCTTCTAACTCATGAAAAAATCGGGACCATGGAATCAGTAATTGAGAAAATATAGATGACCAGTAGTTATAAGCACATGAAGAAACTGAGTCAATCTTTCTACTTGTGGGGGGATATTGACCAAGACACTTATAATTAATTACTTCCGAGTTTTCTCATGGTTACTGTCACCTGTATGATAATACAGTGATCTTTGTGTTATACTTTACTCTTTGTTAACCCTTTAAGCTGCTGCAATTAGTTAATCAAATATGTACTATTTAGACACATCATTCTGTAATTTCAGATTGTTATAAAAAACATGTTTAAGGTTTTCAAGAGGAATTCAAATTTACATGATACAATGAGTAGATAAAATAAGTGTTTCTATGGAGACGGATTCATTCTATAAAATGCCTGTCTTTCATACTGGAAGATTCCCCGGGATGTGAGCCAGCCTGTCACCCTCCTAGACCATTGTATATGGCTACCAGAGGTCTGATGTTGTAAATCTGTGATGTATTTAACCTGATCAAAACTTGTTATTATATGTACCTGTATTGTCTCATCCTGTACAAAGCAGAAGGAAATAGGAAACTGTACATGTCTCTGTATCAAAGAGAATATTGTACATGTCTCTGGATTGAGCAGAATAATGTACATTTCCTTAAAAAACAGAAATTGAACTTTGTAGAAATCTACACGAGAGAGTAGTTAAAAACTGTACAAGTCTGAAAATGAGAGAGAAACAGAATATTGTACATTTCCCAGAATGAAAGATAAAAGGAGTGTTTTTAATTTAGCAATCAAATAAGAGATGTAATTGTACATACCAGGGTACGTTGAAAGTATTGACAGGTGAAAATGATGGAATAAGTCCTTGGTAATTGTTACCTGAATCAACAGGTAATCAGGAAGTTGGAGTTCATACCTGGTTTGTAGTGATGAGCAGGTGTATGGGGGAAAAACACACATGATCTTAATGGTATTCAACAGGTGTCTAGGGAAAAAGGGATACATGATTTTAATGGCAATTATAACAGGTGTCTAGGGAAAAAGTGATATGTGATTTTAATGGCAATTATAACAGGTGTCTAGGGAAAACGTGATACATGATTTTAATGGCAATTATCACAGGTGTCTAGCTAGAAAGCGACACTCTGTTGTGATAAAGAGAAAGTTTGGTACATATGTAAAGTTGCACCTGATTGTTATAGAAACCAGTAGATATTCTATTTATGATGTAAAAGTATTCCTGACTCCAACACCACAAACAAATTTCTGGCAACATCAAGCCGAGTCTGAGCGAAATATTATAAGCGTGTATGACATTGATCTCTGGTTGTTATGGTAACCAGAGGATGTTCTACACGTAGTGACAGATTGTTGGTTATTTAGTAAAGAACAGGTCTTCTAGCTAGACAGATATAATTTGAAAGGAAGGATAATATAAGGAAATTAACTGTACCACTGTCTGTTGAATCATGTAATGTCTAAATCTTTACCTAGTATGTAAATAGTTATATGAGAAACAGTATTGTATTGGTGGTTTACGCTGTGGTTGAAGTTGATGTTGTAGCTGACCATATAGCAAACATGCATTCCTGTAATTGTATCTTGTACTTGAGGCATGGTAGACATTTCTGACGGATATGAATCAGAACAGAACCAGAAATAAGGTAAGAAACTGTAGACACCACTGAACCAACTTTATTTCCTGTATATCACTTCCGAGTTGTTTTTCTTTTTCGTCCCTTTATACAAAAATAATCTTTTATTGGGGAGACAAAGAACTTTGAAAGGTGTTTTGGAATAATTAAGCTCAGATTAATTTGAATGTGCCATGGTTAGTCTTCTGTTGTAGTGACCACTTTTGACAGGCCTCGCAGAACAGTTTCTTCCTTGTTATTATGATCACTTACAATGGTAATTCTGTATTACACAATTCCCTCACCTTGTAATTTGTCCCTTTCGAAAACATCATCAGGCAATATCTAGCCCTCTTGAATATTTGGACCCTAATTATTTGCAACAGCCTTTGAAAGTATAATGGTGACCAATCTGGCTGGTGAGTAACTAACGGTGACCAATCTGGCTGGTGAGTAACTAACGGTAACCAATCTGGCTGGTGAGTAACTAACGGTAACCAATCTGGCTGGTGAGTAACTAACGGTAACCAATCTGGCTGGTGAGTAACTCACGGTGACCAATCTGGCTGGTGAGTACCTCACGGTGACCAATCTGGCTGGTGAGTCACTAACGGTGACCAATCTGGCTGGTGAGTACCTCACGGTGACCAATCTGGCTGGTGAGTCACTAACGGTGACCAATCTGGCTGTGGAGTAACTAACGGTGACCAATCTGGCTGGTGAGTAACTAACGGTAACCAATCTGGCTGGTGAGTAACTAACGGTGTCCAATCTGGCTGGGGAGTAACTAACGGTGACCAATTTGGCTGGGAAACAACTAACGGTGACCAAAACCATTACTTGTCTGTGAATGCTTTGACAGTGGTTCTTCTCATTGTGGACATCAACTTCATGGCCTGCATGTGACATTGTGTATGATGATATGATTGTCAGTTCGTGCATGAAGCCCTTTCTGGCTTGGTGTAAGTNTATCTCCAAAGCTCATTACCATCTTTGGGATGTGAGAAAGGATACATCAATCAATTCAGCAGAGACTTTCGCTTTAGACATTCCTGCTGCTTTCTTCCAGCAGGTTGATACAGCCAAATTCTTCCCTACTTTATAGACAAGTCAGCACCGTTTTAGAAGTCCTGGACTCGTACACCTTGCATGGTGTTTTATTTGGTTTTGAGGTTGATAGTAATCATGCCTTTCTTACAAAGTTGTAAATTTGGTCATGAATAATGATATCTCTGGAGATGTTCTTCTAGGATTGTTGGACAGTCTCCTAAAGGCTTGTCTCTCTTCTTGTAAGAATGGCCACCTTTTAGTTGGTTTTTAATTTCCTCCTTCAAGCTCACTAGATGACCTGATCTCTCATCTCCTAACAGGTCTCTTGAATTTGAAAGCATCTCTGATAAAGCCTGGTCTATATATCACTGTCTCCATTCATTCTTCCCTGATTCTTCCTGCATTCCTTAGTCAGTGGCACTTCACCCTAGACCATCGCTCATCTGCTCTAGCCTGACATACCGATATTTTGGTGATGTTTTGATATCTTTACTCATTAGCAGTTGTTTGATCTCATGTTTCCCATGATTTCTTGTTTTATGTTTGGGTTGGTAAATGTAAAGACTGTTTAAATATGAGGTGGAAAAAACCTGCATGAAATAGCTGTAAAATCGCTGATATGTAGTGTCCTTTAACCCTTTCAACCCTATGTAACTTTAGTAGACTCTACATTGATCTGGATGAGTCCATTATGGTCTACAGTGGTGGAAGGGTTGAGAGGTCACTTGTGCTGTACAGGTGTGAGAGTATTGCCTTAATTGACCTGGAGTGAGTCGGGATACATCGTCCCAATATACCTGGAATGTGTCAGGTGTGAGATAGATTGATCCACCTATAGAGTGAATCATGTGTAACAATTATTCCCGTACATCCTAGCTACGTTAACTCATTCACCCCTGAAGACACATTTGAACTCTTCCAATTCAATGGTTGTAATAGTTCATCATGAAATTTCAGGGGTGAATGAGTTAATACCATCAACCAATTTACACCTAGGTTGTTTTGCAGACATGAAGTATGAATACCAACAGGGTTCCATTTCTGGAATCTTCACCCAAGTGTTTTGTTTTTACAGAGAGAATTGTGTTCAATTTACACTACTGGTTGTGTTAGGTTGTTTTTCACTATTTACCATTGAAACCTGTATTTCTTATTTATGAAATAGACTTTATTGCAAGTGCTGCTGTGTTAACATTGAATAGTTGCGCCTTTGTAGTTCATGGCAACAGGAAAGTGTTTCCTTGACTACGTCAGATAGGACAGATGTGTTTCCATGGTTATGCAGTAAACTATGGTATATGAGGTATATATATATACAGTAGATAATATATGTTACAGACTTACATATGATGTAATATTTGCACAATTAGGTTGTAACAGGCTTTATTGATACTGTTTTTATTATTCATTTGAATATTATTTTCATTCATTTTATATTTGATCATATCAAAACCTGTTTTAGTCGGCTTTATAGACTATCTGCTTGTCAGGTGTGTTGTGATTGGGTGAGAGAAGGTGTTTAACCTTGCTTCTGATTGGTTGTGTCTGTTATACAAATGTATCGGTGAATATGATTGGTTGTATCAATTGATGTATATTTTCAAGCCCGTTTATGAATGTATATGTTTTGAAATCTTTATATCTTATTAATTATTTTCTTCTCTTATGTTATAGAAATATGGGTTTTTTTCTCCTGCATGACTTTTAGGGGACCACATTATACCTGCATTGAGGGGAGGGAGCAAAGGTCCGCACAATAAAGAGACTTTTATAATGTAACGGCATGCTACCTGCTATAAATGTACAGTTAATTGCCCATTAGTAATATAGACGTAGATCAAATGGCATAATATTTTAAGACGTGCAGCCTGTTTTGGAATTCTGGTCCCAGAACTCAGTGCCAGAGTTACAATAGTTCTGTAGTTGTTAAGGCAGTGTTTTGTGTAACTACTTATTTTTATCGTATTTTCAGATTTCGTTATCAAAACAATGGCAATTTTGGACTAAAATTTGATCAGTGAAACGTCAAGTTGATTCTTTGTTTGCAGCAAATGCTGTGCAAATGAATGATACTATGATTTATATCCAATGGAAACTTAACTGTCATATAATCTCAACAAGTTTTAGGGGGTTGATTATAATGCTAAACATCTGTTTTGTCATACACATTAATCGTAACCAGTGATGACTCTTTCATTACCTTCCAGGACACCAGCAAAAATTGTGGAATATTCTAAATTCATTGGTGTTCTATAGACTAGGAAAGAGAAAACCTAAAACTTCTAATAAGTCATTGTGAAAGGAGGATTTATATGATAAATATTAAGATATTATGTATATCTTTATAAACATATAGATATTATATTCAGTTGCAAAAAAGTAGACTATTATAAAAACGTGAGATTGTATGGGCTTATGAAAAATTTGTCTGTAATTTTCATGAACGTGTTACACGGACTGTGAGAAAGCTAGAAACCTTAAACGATAACATTTTAATTGTACTTGTAAAGACAGAATTTATTTGGTTGCTAAATGGCCATAGCTGTTGATAGGACGTTAAACAATACTAAACCAAACCAAATGGTTGCTAAACCAATAGACCATTAGGATAACGTAAGACTGAGCTTGACAACTACGTTGGTACTGAACAAGTGATCAGCTAATGGTATAAAACCTGGAACTGGCAAAAATAAGCAGTTAAACAAAACAAAGAACATACACAAAATACTCATAACATTCCACTCTTGGTCGGAAGTTTGTAAGACTGCACTAGGTCAGGGTGTGTTCAGTTATACTATACTTAGAGGGAAGACTTAGAGAGAAGACTTAGAGANGGTCGGAAGTTTGTAAGACTGCACTAGGTCAGGGTGTGTTCAGTTATACTATACTTAGAGGGAAGACTTAGAGGGAAGACTTAGAGAGAACACTTAGAGGGAAGACTTAGAGGGAAGACTTAGAGGGAAGACGTAGAGAGAAGACTTAGAGGGAAGACTTAGAGGGAAGACGTAGAGAGAAGACTTAGAGAGAAGCATAACTGTACAGAATAGTTAACTGCGTAGGGTTAACATGTTGCTGTATACTAGGAAAGTTCTGCTGCAGTTTAGTTTAACTTTTCGCCTTTTTCACGGGGAATAGCCGACTGTAATGAGGGAAGTAGACAACCTGTTATGTATAATAATTAACTATGAAGGGCAAAATTAACACTGAGCGAAAAATTAAAATTGATTATATATGTGAAGGCGAAAGATTCTGGTATCCAGTAGACTGTACTGTGATGATTGTGTTACAGTTAAGAAGACTGTTCTGGGTAGGGGTGTATTTCTGTTTGGTATGTACCTAGTGTGTGGAAGTCTTAACTTGGAATTATGTTGAAGTTATACAATACTCTTCCATTTATCATGTGTAATCACAGAGTTAGATTATCTAAGTCCATGGTGTGATTATACTGTATCGGGCGGGGTGTAATGTCCTTTAGGTAATGAGGCTAATTCGGCGGTTCAGAGATTATATCTGTACATACTGTGGGACTATGATAGTCCAGGTGTCTATTGTTAGCTAAGCTAAACTGTTAATACAGGTGTTTATTGTTTTGTACAGGTGTTAATTCTAAGTCAGGCTAAGTTGACATTCCAAATATCGGTTCTTCCTCCCTTCGTTTATTTTTTTTAACAACATATATGCTATAAATGCCATCGTGTTATTTATGCATGCTATGCGAGATTGCTGTTAACTTTCCTTATTGACTATTTTGATTTTTAAATGTACTGATAACTATTAAATAAGGGGAAATATTAAACATGATCTTAGTGGGAAATACACTAGAATGCATGTTATGTTGTCTTAGAACAATTACCAGCTGTGTCGACCATACCTATGTGTTAATTTATAAGGGTTTGTCAGTGATAGACAAACAATCACAATGTGTGTCGATGTGTTGATTGTAGTCTGGCGTCTTGATTCACCTACCATCATTTTCCTCTTCCTCCTTTTCCTCATCCCCC